GTTTACTCGGCTCTTTACCCCCTACTGCCTTATTGCAGGCCCGTCTGCCTTTATCGATGCCTTGCCTTCCCTGTATGCCTTGGCGCCTATTCCAGAGTGCACTGAGGCGAGACCTCAAGCAGCATGAACGGCGACGGCGGCCGCGGCAACATCAGCACTAGCGTCGACGCAGCTGAACGCTGCTTATAACTTTCAACACCCTACACTCAGTCTGCCTGTCTGTCTTTCTGTCTACAAGAGCCGTGCAGACATCGCATGTCGCTACAGCCCCCGCCACTGGCCGGCTATGCGACCCCATGGAGAGATATATAGTAGCAATGCTCTATCAGCCACAGCATCAAAAGTTGTTGTGGGCGTACACGATCGGCCAGCCAGGTAGATTTCTACACACGGCTGCGGCCGACTCAGCGGTGATGGTGGCAGGATTGGCGAGTTCCCACACGCTTTGCGTTGTTCGGCCGATGGTACCAGCCAGTTGAAATGTCCAGGAAAGCCTGGCGTTATTGTATGTACGTGTAGTGATCGGACTGGCAATAGTAGAAGCGCGCGAACAAGAAGAGGTTGGCAGCCGGCGAAGAAACGCTGACAAATCAAGAGAAAAGTGCTTGTTTGTAACATGTTTTGCAACTAGACGATGATAGTGATGCTAATGGTGATCGTTGTGATGATGATAGTAATGCTGATCATAGGTATAGAGGCACAGGTTGCGCATCGGACACCGCGCACCATTTGTGCAGTCATCCGTTTTGCTTCGTTTGCTATCGTCATGTTTGTTGCTGGGCGTCTGCTGCCGTCGATTGTTGCGGTACATCTCGCTGCTTCCTTCTGATGGATCCGGTGTGCGTGTGCCGTCAGGGGACCAACATGGCCAGTGGACAGAAACAACAACAACTGTTGCTGGTTTCTCGTCAGACTGTACAGCAGCGGCCGGTCAAGTGCGGAGAGCATAGCTTACGCGGGCACTCACTCTCTCACCGTTATCATCTTAATCCAAAGACACAATCTCAGTTACATGCACATAGTGAGTTTATGAGGCCATGTTTCCTTTTCCTTCTGATACTGGTGTCTTCTGTGTCCTCTGCGTCAGCTGCAGCAAGGGTCCCAAAGAGGTCATGATATAAAGATACTATACACTGTGGAAGGAGGAACTTAAATGGAGGGGATAGAAACCGAGATCTAAAAGACGTGGACAAAGGACAGGCACGTCCCACCATTACAGTCGCCGTCACCTTCACTACAACAGCGAACTGTAGAAAGGAAGGAGAAGCTAGGCACAGGTTGTTTCGCGCGGCAAAGGTCTCTAAGAAAGAGCAGATCTGCTGCATACGAAGAACTATATACTGTTCTACAGGTCACACCGCCCTACGATAGAGAAAGGACGAAACTAAGCCAGCAAACTTCAATAGCCATGTGTTGTCTGGCAGGAGTGAGCCTGCGTGTCATTGAATCATGCCCGCATTCGCATAGAATAATAATAGGAAGAAAACTGCAACGCTGCTAGTAAGATACGGAAAAACAAAGCCAGGATGAATGCAGCACTTAGAAGCCAGGCACGACTGTGATTTCGTGGCGGGAACCGAAGTAGAGGAACGACTGTGACAGGGCATAGATGTTCTCGAAAGTAGCATAATAGAGAAGACCGGTCCGATCGAGGGAAGGTTTGAAAAGAATAAAGGACTTATACGTATGTGGTGTCACCACCAATTTTCTCCTGCGATCGCAGTTGGCCAGCTAGACAGAAAAAAAGATCGTTTAGAGATAGCTCAATGAATAACAGATGGTCAAGGGCCTCTGAACGAGGTTAGGATTGAAGGTAATAGCAGTTGCAACGAATTGCAGACTACTAAATCAAATTTTAGCGAAAGGTCAATTAGAATACGGCCATGGCAGAGAAAAATTGAGTCTGTGTGAGAAAAAATATACGTATAGGGTCCACATAAGACCGTATGCTGTATATGCTTTGCTATTATGGCGCGCCTTTTTTCATTATGGCGTTTAAATCTTCCAGTGCTGTCGGTTTCCTATCGTAGGTTTTACTTCCAAGGTATCCTCAGTCAACCATTTATGTTGAAGATCCTCATCAAAATGTACTCTAGTGTTTCGTCGTCTAGTGCTTGCAAGTGCATGTTGAAATGGAGTCGTGTAATAAACTAGGATAATTGGTTCCGGTCACTGTACTATCAAAAAAGACGATCCATTGATTATAGTTATTTGGGGCACCGTCCGTTATATATATTAGTTGCACAAATTCATCACCGGTGACGCCAGGCACTGTCCATCTGCAACAGACAAAACTTCATGTGTTCAACGCTGGAAATCAGCATTGAAATTAAATAAGGGGGAAAGAAATGGAGACAGTGAATAATTTCAGCATAAAAAAACGGTATATGGGTGCATCTTCTAATTATAGCTATGACTTGATTGTGGGCCCATTTGCCTTGCCGTCTCCGGAAGACCCAAGGCGCTGCCGTAATTGAGAGTACACCACGTGCCCTTAAATTGGTTAGCCTTGTATGCAGGCTATAGCTGGCGACACCAGCGCTCCCTATCAAGCCATTATGATGAAGCACCGTCCTGCCTCTTCGACGGTTGCGGTGCTGTTTTTTGCCGGCATGACAACTTAGCACTGCTACGTGATTATAATTCGAATGGAAATCGCCGTTTTTTTTCATTTCGCCCAGTTTCTCTCATTGCGTCGGTGTCTGACAGGACAGTTCAGCACGTCATGGATCATGAACTACACAAGAGGCCTATCTAGCAATATTACTGTGCTATTGTTAAAGAATGGTGATTCTTCCGAGATGACTGAACGGCTGGAGCTGGGAGCCCCACATCGCCTTTCTGATATCGGAAATATATATGTGGTCTCATAGTGCGGCTGTTTCGTCTGTGGTGTCTGGTGTCATTGACAAAGCGGTTGAATACGCTGAAGGCCAAGGCTAAAATAGCAAAAGCGTGATGATCGTAGACGAAATTCACGTTGTTCTTCATGTCGTGCCGTTTTACTGTCTTCGTAATGTCGACTAGTAGCCGGTCCTTCAGCAGCAAGTCAGCGCAGTGCCTAGTCTGCTATGTCCCAGTGCTGGCAGATTGCCCTTCTGACACACGGCCTGCCGGCGAAAGGTAGAGCCAAGTAGCCGAGATATTCCAGTGCTCACAGGGAAGGAACGAGAGATTTCAAGCAGCTAAATCCATCTTGGATAAACTGACTGACGACGAGATCAGTATGAAGGGAAAGCAGCAGGACTATGTAATCGAGGTGTGTTTGATGAGAGATGTAATGTCGGATATGCGGATGGTGTAAACTTGTCATTTTTTTGTTGTTAGCGGCTCCCGCCCTAACTCTCGTCGTGCTCAAACGAGAAGGAACAAAACCGATTAAAAGGCATGGAAAAGGACAAAATGTATAAAAGAGATAGAAATCTCAAGATCGATTAGCCATTCACATATCCATTTGTATACTGGGTATAGATGTCCATGAAGAGGTCGACCTATTTGAACAATCTACACAGCATGACAGACCGTATTGCGATCGAAGATGGCACTGCTAACCAGCCAATAAAATAAAACTATTTCCAAGGATCATCAGACAACATTTTAGCCAGCTGAAGAGAAAAGTTGATTATTCCGAGGATGATATAGACCGTAAATGAAGGAGGATGGCAAGGCAAACGAGAGACAAGTGCAGACACCCAGCGACGGCTGTTGCTTGTTCGGACGGATTATTTTTGCTGATATGTCCTTTTTACATGTGTATATATATAAACGTGTGTGTGTGTGTGTGTGTGTGTGTGTGTGTGTGTGTGTGTGTGTGTCTGTGTGTGCGTACGGAAGATTTCTACGGCCCTGTTATGTAATAGCGCATCAAGCGATCATGCGACTCGCTCGAGTCGCAGTAACACTACGGAGGGATAGAAAGAACGGCAAAGAGACACGCGTATAAGCGAAGTTGGCATTATAAACAAATCCGAGTGATTGTGTAGCTTCTGGCTGTTAGGAAGAAAAGACAAAATGCTCCACTCGAGCTAGCCGTATAGGATAGGGGGATGGCCTCCAAGACCGTCGTTTCAGCGCCGGAGTTATCGGCTGCGAAAAGGCCACGATTGACGAACTGACTTCCACAGAACCAGCTTGTCGCCCAGCCACACATCCTGGCACACTTTCATTTAATAGCAAAGTGAACTACGAACGACTAAAGCGGTGCGAAAGCGCACGATTAGATTGCCTATGCTGTCGTTGTCGCTTATGCTGCGCCGTATTAGTACTATATAGAAGAACATAGCAGTTCTTGAAGCTCATCTTGAGAGCTCTTTTTGACGGCTAACGCTAAAATATTAACTAAGAGATGCTGGGAACCTGTACTTATATAGGATCATCGATTGCTGCGGGATCATAGATCTGAAATGGCCATCCCTACTGATCGGATAGAGGCCAATTATTCAGTCTAGTTGTCGTTAGCCTTAGGTAGATCAGCACTAAATAACACCAGCAGCGCACTGCTTGGCTAAGCACAAAAAGACAGTCAAATAATAGCGGGCGAGTGGTCTTAACGGCTAGCTGGTGCTTCACAAAATCCTCATAGGGATATTTTTCTTTGCATTTCATTATCTGACTGCATTTATTATCCAAAAGGTCAATAAAATCGTCGTACACTTTTCACCTGAGTTTTGGGGCATAAACGCCAACCAGTGAATGATATCGTTGCCCGCCGCCGCTTGAAACCACAACGAGACATAAACAGTCCTTTTTGCCATACAAACGAGCCTTCTTCATATTTATGTAGCATAAGACAATGCTTTACAACTTCATATGACTTGCACCAATTGCTATCTCTAACGCGACCAACAACTATATGAACAGTTGTTTATATTTGGTCTGACGTGTAGCATGTTGCTTTGATTCTCGTAAAGCTTGCCGTGAAAAAATCATTTGCAATAGTGTTCCAGCTATTAGAGCAGAATAATTTGTGAATTCTATTTTGGTGTTTCTCCTTTTTCCAGTTTCCTGCAAGCGTAGAGTTAGGAACTGCAGACCTGTCTGGCAAAAGCTCAACGACAACGACAGAGGATCCGAGGACGCCGAAAGATGTGCTAGCCATCAAGAATTGGTCGATTCGACCTAACAAGTCTGAGACAGCTGGAGCTAGCAATGAACAACATCGCACCAACATTGTTCCCCCAAGGAAAATTGACATTAGCAAGGACAGTTCAAGAACTGAGGAGAGCGGCGTCGATTCTTTTGGAGACAGATCGAGAAAGGGCAACGAAGTTACTCCGAACGATGGCGGAGACCAAGGAACCGTACAACAGAGACCCACGTTTGTTAATCCGAAACACAGGGAGAGTGCGAATCCGTTTGCGACAGCCGGAGTCAACAAAATGACGAGTAATTACTGCATTTTTATCCCCAATTTAAATGCTTTTGTTTAATATCTTTGTGATGTTTACTAATTATAAAGATAGAAATGGAATAAAATTTGGCTAATTCAAAGGCGGTCGTCTATTACCTACAATGTAATCAGACAAACTGAAAGATCACAAAATGTCATGATGTTGCCTGACCGGTATAAAGCAGTCTTTTTTACAAGAAACAATAACCGAATGTCGTAGAAAGTAGGCAATATGCGTTTTTCCTCATAGGCTTCAGCTTAACAACTTACCTTATTTGATAGAGAACAAGTTTTTACACTTTACTGAGATCTGGTAATAATCCTGCTATTATTTTCTTCTTATATTCTATTCTTTTGTGTTCATCTAAGCTTCTATCTTTTCGTTGTTTCAGCCGGAGCCCCAATGACGTCGACACTGTTCCCGTCTGAGGACACCCAGAATCGAATCCACACCTCGGCAGACATTTTGGATCGTCTCTTCGACCTAGATCTACACAATTCACAAGATATTGCATTAATTCTTGTTGTTCTATGCGTTTTTCTCATTGCGCTATTCATCCTCATCCTTGTGGTCTGTGTGTTGCATCGTGGGTGCCGTGAGAAGATCCCTATTCGTGAGAACCCCCTCTATAACGGGGCTCCCGCGAGACGCATCAATAACGTATCTTTTCGACCGAGCAGCCGTCACAAGCGTGCTATGCAAGAAAGAACCTATACGTGAACAACGCAGTCATTCTTTTGATAATCGGCTTGAAGACGTTGGCTCAAGTATGGTCAACGAAAACTTCATTGTCCTCGTTACATCCTCACTGAACGACTTTACGCTGATTTAGGACAACTGGCTTCTTAGAGCAAATTCGCTTTCATTGCCCTGTCCGTCTCTTAGGATGACATAGCAACCGTATTGCTATGGACGTGGTAGACGTTTCGGACTTTCCCGCCTGAAACCGCGTTTCCATTACGATTACTCGTTATACGTCCAGACAACAAAACGTTAGGCGGATAGGATCCTAAAATAGAGCTGTTACAATTGCAGATGCTGCTTACACCATATGAAGAGGTAAGATTCTTTACTTAAACCAGTAGCGCTCGAAATCGTTAGCGTACTGCTGCCAGTCATTTTGAGTCCTTAATTCCTGCAGTTCAAGGCGGTACTCGGTCCATTTAAAGGTTGCCGTTCCCCTACGACTTTAAGAAAGAAAACATAATTCTGGTTGAATATCGTGAGAAGAAGTAGCACGGAATTGGTGATGAGTGTATAATTTGCCATTATCACTATTATTGTGATAATTAGTATAATACCAATTATTATTACGCTGCTATGAAATAAAACAGTGTTGTGTGATGTGGTGCTTCTCGATAAATCGAAGAATTGACGAAGATGTAGCACCGAACGAGCAAATTCCTCGAGGGAAATCTACTGTTAACGTTAAAGTGATGGCGTATACATGCGACGTACGATAAGGGTGGCAGTTATTATTAGTTAATATCATTATTATCCTGAACATCATAAATGTCCCAGATATTATACGCCCGCTATAAATCTCATGACAAGGACTGAATAGGAAAACTAGCGCAAGGAAAAGCATGAGCAGCAAACATTGCCGACTGTAAAATTTCCATACACACATGTAGATATACAAACATACACATGTTGCTTGTTCGATGGGCGATCCCGTTATTGTGCATACAACTTCTACTATCGTCATTATCGTTGTTACTATTATTATTAATAGCAGATACGTACGTTCGTGTTTTTGTTCTTAAATGGTTAACTAGAAAAAGCACCCTTGGCACACCGTAACAAACGCGAATCGTAGGAAATCACAAACTACTAAAAATGTATTGTGAGCTATGGAAACGTCATCCAGATGTTGCTGTACATATCAAGTTGCCATAGGGAGACCGCTAGCAGAGGCTCAACTAAAAATTAAGGTAAACACCTGTTAGAGAAAAATTAGGAAAAGACCGTGCCTACCCAGAAGCATCTCACTTAATTAACTGCACAATCAAAACAGCATAAATTCGAGTTTACTTTCATATCATATCAGTTTATCGATCACATGGCCGACTGATAACAACACGAGATTGTTGATTGGCAAGATTTACAAACGTTTAACGAAAAGGAGTGTTACCATCAAACAATATGTAAAGTGAGTCTAAGATGAGAATCTCGATATGGTCCTTGGCTCGACGCCAAAAGACCAACTAAGAGGTTGTTTGTACATAGTATTTATGTAAGTGACGATGGTAATGAATAAATAAATAAAGCCTAACGCTGTCAATTATTTTTCATATCAATTTGTTGTTCGTTTATGAAGGTACGTTTATTTCTTATTATATATACATATATATATATATATTACAGTTGTAAAGGACAAAAAATGTAGACCCAGCTAATTTTACCTTCAGTAAGCGAGCGTGCTGTATACTGCGTCTTCTTGATTTGATATATAACAATTGTAGACTGAAACAGCCCTCGCATTTGAAGTTTTCCTAAATACTCAGGGGTCATAGCCAATATACGGGGATCATTTGGGAACCAGATGACCGAACACTGCCGACTAACATTCTCCTCACATAATTACTAGTGCCGATTACTTTTAGTCCCATGTCGAAGAGGTAGTATAGCAACAAAATGTCCTCACAAACGACCGATGCGTGGCAGTTAGGCACATTCTTAGTGACGACCTTTGTGCTGTTGGACTCTAGGCTTCCCAGCCAAGTTCCGATAACACAACTAGCATTTGGCCGGACCGCCGAGGCAATACGGTAATTGCCCCGACGATAAGAATTGCAATGAGTAAGAAAAACGCAGTTTATGGCTCTATTTGGCAACCATTTTCATGTCAATAGAGTTCGTTTGTCAGGCCGTATACCCGCTTCGATTAGCCCATGGATCAGCAACTGTGACAATCCGGACAATGGCAGCGTGCACGGATCAGAGAAAGGAAAGATTTTTTACTACTGCGGAAAGGAAAAAAGGTTGAAATAACCATTATGTTTTCAGCCTTAATCCGCTATTTGGCAGATAAAGTGGCAGGCGTAAAGCACACATCAAGTTCACAAATAGATTTTGAATACGGAAAACTGAATTGGAAACAGGGAGTTATCAATAACAAACGTTTTGATTTGAACCCAACGTGATAGATTTTACAACGACAGGAAATACTGGAACTGATACTGCTACTGCTCTACTGAAATTACATAGCTAAAACTTTCAAAGCAATCTGAATAGGCGCGCAAGGTATAGAGGATTACTACATTTGGGGTTAGGCGAGTTTGAAAAGGTAATAGTCGATGATTATATTTGTCGTATAGTAAGGGTTTTTGCAGAGTTTAACATACTTAATATACGAGTAGATCTTTTTCATTTATCTGGAGACACCACAGAACGTAGAACAAAATCATGAACAGGTAGCTCGAAGGATCAGAATCGCAGGTCGCATATTGGATAGCCTATTTTGCGTTGTTTACCACTGGCTGGATCCAAACGCTATAATCTCACAAGCGATTGTGTTAGCACAACCAACGCCAGGCGATTTATCTTTATTCCTATTCGCGACATTGTATTAATACCGGTATCGCCGTTTACTGAACTGTCATATCTTTTCCTCGCGGCCGTCAAGCTCTGAATGCTATTCCCTCACCTGCCGTATCCAACATCTATAGAACCTACGCCAGTTGTCTTTTGACTCGAGCATGTCCGCGTAACAGATGATTCATCGCTGGCACAATGACTGCAGCTTGGCTTTCACTTGTTGGGTTGGGCGTCGTTTTCGGATCAGCGGTCGAAGACGCGACGAACGAGCTGATCCTGTACAAGACTGGAAAGTTTTTGCTTTCCGATCCAGGATGTCGCTTGCACGCACACGCACACACGCACACAGACACACAAACACACACACACACACACACACACACATATAGGATGGTACGGGCAGGTATTGCAAATGATTTTGGGCCTCACTCGTCGAATGGTGCATCGGCCCAAAAACATACCCCAGGATCAGCATTGTCATAAATACGATCGGCAAAAGTTACGTTTAGGGGCTTTGACGGACCATTTACAGTTCGATTTTATTTGCAGTTTACAACTTCGTGCTTACGCGGATAGCTAAAGACATTTTCGTCGTTCCTTGATAGACTGAAGACCGTCAGGAGACAGAGAAAATTAAACATATCTCAATTGACGCCGATTCATAATCGCCTATTTGTAAGCAGTAAATGTGGAAGGCACGCTGCCGAACGGCAACCACGCTGAGCGTAATATTATTATAACAAATTATCTTAATAATAACAGTGATTACGGAATCGTTTTCTTCAAGTAGACGAAGCGTCAAAACATCCTTCACAAGGAATTAAGAACCAAGCGATGCAAATGAATAGATTGTGTTTGCCTTATAGAGATGCAGCGAAATTTTTACGCTGGCCATCGCGACACCTTTTCCCAACGTATTTATATAAGCACCTTCGTCAGCTGCAGAATCAGATGTCTTTTCAAACCTTAGACATTTAGATTTATTTAGCAGAAATATATGCCATCACTTGAGTGAGTTTCAGAAGTCTTGCCTGCTTGCTCCCCGTAGCCATAGTGTTTATTCTGGTAAAAGTAGTCTGTGAATATTCTAGTAAGCGGAATTTGTATCATAACTGTAAATGATGTTTATGTAAAAGTTATTTTGCAATGCACAAAATGCATTTGGGCACTAACTTTAAGTTGTTTTGGCGAACGCAGCGAACTTTCATATTGCATAATCTAAATCCGGCTGTTCTTCATTATCACTGGTCTGCGATCGTCGCTGCACCGTTGAGATGCATGTCTACGCTACACGCTATTAATTAGGCAGAGTATGAGTTTTTGGCTTATGATAGTGCGATCGGCTACGGAATAGAGGTAGATGTTTACGTATCTGATGTTGAAGTTAGTTGTGGCCCTGGGTAAACGATGCGCATTACTGTTATTAAACTCTAAAGCATAGCTAATTCGTAACTTAGAAAGTTACCGAACGTTATCAATCAAAATACAACATGTCTCCGTTCTTCTCATCGTCATAGTATATTATTTAATGGTTAAACTAAAAGAGTTAAATAGTTACATGGATACATTTATGTGATTGTACTCGTCGCTTTCTACCGTGCTTATGCCCCACCTATGCCCCGCGCATAGCGTCGTCGCGGCACCCCGTAAAGATAACGTATTTTATTTTTATGATAGGAGCTTGCGTCTCGACCGAGCCCGCCGAACTCTATCGAACCGTCATAAATATGACCCTTCGCCATAAATAACACGAGCTCTTGACCAACACCTATTGACTGTCGTGACATTAAAATCTATGTCATCTCTATTAAAATCTAATCGTTACAATTAATTGCAAAAATGACGTACACAAAAATTTAATTTAACGAGGATTATTTATGAATAATGAACGATCGTATACTATCTTGTACATATTTATATTAGGATAGGAAGGGACAATTAAGGGATTGTTAATGTCTTCTTTTATTTCTATTTACATATTTACAAATGAAAGGTAAGAAAATATGCTAACAACTGAAATTAAGTTGACAGTGAATAAATGTAAAAAATTTCGGGTTTAATTTCAAATAATACAAACAGCAACACTGATTTTTTACCGTGTATTTGTCACCGATCCTACGAAATACAGTATCCTTCTGTACCTTCACACAAATTTCCAATAAAAGGTATCTCAAAAGTAAATAATGACGAATTGCCGTCACGAGGTGCGCACGTGGATGAGCGGTTGCGACATCTGTCTGTGTCAAGTTCTATTATCTGGTGTCTTAAATTTACTCGTTCGCTCGCAGGTAACAATTATAAGTTGAAGTATTTTTGTTAGAATCAATTTTGATTTCTCTCTATGCGACCGGTTACCTTCTGCAACGGATATAAGAAAAAAGTGCTGTAAAAATCGCAAGAGATGCGGTATATTAACAGTTCAAATGTAATCCCTACATAATATAACCTGAACTGTATTCTAAAACTAAACGAAAGAACATAAACCTGGCCAAACATTTCACCAGCGATGAGATGCTGATCACTTATGGGTCATTTCTAACAATTTATGCGTGATTATCGAAAATGATCGGCTGATTTATTTCTGGCTCCGTTAACTGTAAGGCTGGCTACTCTTTTCCTCTGTCTGGCTCGGATCTAATTATTAGGGAACTACTGCAAAATATCATAGTCTGATACTTCGATTGATTAAAGAACGGGATGCCAGCTAAACCGCTATCTCCAACCGAAGCTCTGATATTTACAAATAAGCGTTCATGCGGTAATTTTACAGCGTTACCTGTCTATAAAACTGCTAGTAAGCAATGCTTTTGTACAGGGTAGCTGGGGGTGCCTCAAAGGAAGCGAAGTTTATGCCGAAAGTGATTCGTTTACACAACATCAACTTTTTTACGTTTCGTCAATGGTAGTCCGAAATAAACGATATTCGTTATGCTAGGTTGTAGATAAATGCATTCAAGGTTGGCTATCATATTATAGGTGAAATGAAAACACCCACTGGTACTAAAGCCGTATATGTTTCCATATCTCTAAAAACTCCCATTCTCGGCTAAAGAAGGCAACAAGAACAAGCTATGCATTGAAGCTATGCGCCGTTATCCTTTTTCCATGTTTTCCACTCCGTTTGTGGCTGTACAGAACGTTTTAAAATATTGCGCAAGTACGGTTCTTATGCCACATATAAGCTTGTTACGACGGGATGATATCATATTTGGAAAAAGATTTATTTCAATCAACCCAGGTTGTCCAAGTAGCGAAGTCTGCCTACAAATCGAACCTATTTTAATTTTAACGCAGTTGATTACTGCTACTGAGGAATAGTCCTGGGATAAAATTATGCTCACTCAAACGTCACCTCTGAACTGGGTTTTGTTTTGGGATTGGCATTCGGAAAGTCTGATAAAAGGCTATAGTGATAAGTGTGTTGTTCCAACATGAGTACAATGGCATGTCTATAACCTAGTCGAACTTCAATAGAACTACGAGAGTGTTGTTCGTAAGAGCCAGGGTGAAAAACAGACGCATAAATTACTTAAAGCAAAGTCCTTTGGCTGATTTATCGGCACATAAATTATATTGAAATAGACTATAGCAAATTATGCATTTGTCGTTTCGTTTTTTAAACTTTCAAGGACTTCTTCTATTAAAACAATCATGATTAGGTACAATAATAAACGCGTTTTTAAACCAAAGATGAAATGGACACTTGGAAAATGTACAGCTACACAAAATACGTCACAGCAAAAAAAGGATGTCAACATTATACGACAAATGGAAGGAGAACAAATATGGAAGGAGAACAATAATGGTTTCAGTACAGCTGGGGGTTTAGACTGAGCACAGCATAGCCGCACAGACCAGCAACGACAAACAGAACTAGAATATGTTTTAAATGATGATTTTTAATACGGTATTGCAAAGATGCAGCCGATACGTGGTGAGCTTGTCCTATCAACGCGGAATATATTCACCATTAGATGGGAGCGCCAGCAGCTCAACGTAGGAACACTAGCTTCTCCAAATGTATCAAATTTGTATGCTACATGGCTTACCGAGCAGTAATATAACTTCGCAAACGCTTACAAGGGACATTACATTATTATGTTATCATTGTTTAAAATTTTGTATTGAAGACAGCAATTTTCAGGGATTCGTCATAATCATAGCTCCTACTGTTCTTTTAGGCAAACGTTCAGTGTGAACGCCGGCGGGCTTTATAAGCTCAGGGCCACCCTCTAGAGCCGGATTCAAGACAGTGGTGCTTTGCTAATCCAGAAGTAGAAAAGAAATCATGCTTCCTATCCGACAGGGATTGATTGTTAAGCTCATATATGCACATAATTAACTCTGTCGACTTGTATTGTAGCTATTTTCTACAACAGAACAAATGAAAACCGCAAGAATAACGCCGTCAAGCGGGAGCCCCGAGCCAATATCATTTCAATCTATTCATCTAAGTAAAGGCAGTGTTAACCCACAAGCAATATATAAATATCGTTACATATATCTTCAATGGTAGCACCAACTCGTCACGTTCAACGGACCGAACCTTCTGTAGAAGGAAAACGCTATTTTTAGTACGGTGTTTAGTCTGAAATAACCCCTTTGTCACATATTCATGCTCAATAGAGAAATGCATTAGCTGTTTTTTTTTTAAACTTTCAAAGCCACCTCAAACTTTTCGGAAATATCAAATGCCATAAACTGCTTCTAATTAAATGCTACATACTGTTATAGTCTACCTTTATCTGGAAGCAAAACGGCTGAATCTGTTTTCATTCACTTGAGGAACTTTTTCAGAAAATGTAATCACGTAACATTGTATATTCGGCACAACTTAACCTCGCAAGTAAGTGTTATAGAAAGAAAACAACTAAACCTTCCTTACACGCTACACAGACATTTGTGATGGTACTCGATTATCAATGTTTCATCGGATTGAACATTCAAGGAAAAAGTACAAACTTATAGATTAACCAAACAAAAAATAAATTCTAAACAGAAGGCAAGGGACAATTGAAGAAATAAACTCGAAACTGAAAGTGCCATGTTGCACTTTTGAAGTTTAGCTTTTTGAAGCTTGAACAATATTGCATCCGACATGAAAAAGTTTGAGCTTACTTCAGCACGATATATGTCATTACTAAACTGGATTTAATTTCAAATAACATTAACTGAGTTAATTACATTAATTAATTAATAACGTTAACTGAGCACAAGTGTGCAGGTGTCTTCTATTTACTGGTGTTACGAATCAAAATTATCTAAGGCTTCAGCCAACCTCTGAAACTTGAAACTGAATGAAAAACAATTAGTTTAGAAAAAAACGATGCGATCTTTTGCATATTTTTTTCATGAGAGTTTATCATCCAAACAGTTACCAGAATTGGAAACTTATCAAAATCACGCTTTCTGCACGATAATATTCAGTGTGCGTATTTCATCATAGCTATAAAATTTATATCACTACTTTGTTGTAGCATACTTCGAAAGCGGCTCTCGTACAGAGAGCCGCTTTCGAAATAGAGATGGACGATTTTCGAAATTTTGGGAATTGTGCATTAGTTTTTGAATTGGAGAACTGTTGACGCCACAGACCAGAAAATTGCAGGGAGCGTGAGGAGAAAGAAAAGGTTCATACGTCATCGGTAACTGCCGATTTCTTATAAATACCTATTCCTGTTTCTAATCATCGCGCTTGTCACTTACTATATGCTGTCAATAGTACTTGTATATTTGTAATAGTATCGCCTTTCATTTGGAAGTACTATAATATCGCCCACCTATCATTTCAAACCACTGTACGCGTTCCGTTCAGCTCCTCTCATTGACACAACCAGCATTTCTTCTTCCTAGTTTCTCGTCGAGCCATACTGCACGCGATATTCATTGCTGAACTTTGCCAGCTAGAGTTTGCCCAGGCCAGTCGATAAAGGAATCCGCGACGCTTGTCGAACTTTCAATCCTAGCCAATCAAAACTCTTGCAGCGATAAAATTCAAGGGTTCGAGAAGAGATTAGATACGTTTAGCTCCACCAGAAACGACAGCTTTTTACATCCCTATGCTGAGGTCTTCTGTGGAAAAATTAGGAAGAATTTCATCCAGTTCTTGTTTTCTTACAGAATAAAAATACTTTTCCAACACCAAGTTTGGCTCTTCGTTAGAAGCGAAAAATTTCAACACACATCGATGGTGGATAACTTCTATGGGGAGGTAACGCTTTTTCATTTCCTTACGTTTTCAGTAAGCTTTAATATTGCACAGCAACTAGCGTGATCTAAAACTGTCTCAAATGCAAAATCTTATTGTTTTATTTTCACAGGTATCGCAGCTCTATTCCTTAGAGAGCTTGCATTACTGAAAAGCAGTTCCAGAAGCTGAATACACGAAAGAGTTTGACTAGTACTACGGAGTACTTTCATGCATGTACTATGACAATTTGTGCAGACACGCTAGGATGTCTCTATAGAACAGGAGTCCATCGTTCCCCTGTGTATATGATATTCGTTTGACGACAGATATCAGATTAGAAAATCATTCACTCATTGAGAAAGTGGTATTCATGCGACTAACCCGGATTACTACGGGTGTCCTCAAGAACTTAGGGCGGCCATAGTATGCATGGCCGCCCTAAGTTACGGCGTTCTCCGCAATACAACAAAATAAACGTATGTATATGTTGTTGTCATAATAAGTATTACTGTTATTTACCGTATTACTACTGCAGCTCGTTTTAATAACGACAAATTATATACGTATTTAGTTTTTTGCAAAATAAGTTAGTTTTATTCGCGTATATATTCTGATTTTATGCACACGGTGTATTTACAGTACTTATTTGCTTGCTTTGATTTTTTTATCTTATATTTGCATTTGCCTCTGTTCAGTAGAAACATTATTTATTATCGCATTGTTAAGAAAAACAGCAACGCAGACGGATTTACTTCAAATCTCTTTGTTGCTAAATAACGTTCTCATAATATGAGAAACGCTTAGATCTTCGACACAATAGTTCGCAGTTGTGCTTATTTCTTAGTTGAGGGGCTTACTGCGTTGATAGAAACGGGCAATGTAAACGGTAATCACTGTACGCATATGTAAGAATCACACAATCATTATAGGTTTCCCTTTGGCAACATTACCGTATTTTAAGTGTGGAACAGGGTTTACAGACAGACTGTTGATTACTGAATTCAGTCTTTTGTAAAACTACGTATATTAAATTGTGCAAAAGTTGCATCGTGATAGAAAGGTCAGTACAAAATCCGATGGTACCTATTCGTACCACAGGGCATTTTCATTATTTTTTTGCGGAGCACTAGCGCTAGCTAGTAAGCTTTTTCAGAAAAAAAAAAAGAAACAAAAGCCGCGCCTCTCCTAATGCAGTACATGAGCTAGGTATAGTTTGTGATTCAAGTAACATGGTATTGATAGCTTTGGAAGGCTTACTTGTGACTGATAGGGACTAGAAATTGTTATTGAAGCCATCGAAGTTGAACATTGGTAACAACAGTCGTCTGATGAAGGATCGTAAAGAATAGAAGCGCGTTTACAAGATGTCCTAATGAAAAATTTCAAAATGTCTTAAGAGTCCAACCTCACCTCCATTGCATATTTGAATTTTATGTGACTATAGTATATTGTGTTGTTATCGGTCACCATCTTCAACTTTGGTTGATGGCATCCTTTATTCTAAGGCAAGGACAGTTAGGTAGACATTGACAAAGAATAGCATTTTACTATATATTTATAATATTATATATGATTATTACAGTTGTATAACTAGTATCGTCGTAGTAATAAAGCTACTCAATTGACTAATTTCGACGTTATTACTAACGCGTCCTCTGTCCACCACTATCTGTCCATATTTTCGTCAATCTTTTCAACTTATCGTCACTGCTAGAAGACACGAACTCTTCGAGTGCAGCATGCTCAAAGGCATATTAATAACACTAATAACAACACCTGCGTTAATGCCAAAATAACAAACACAGATTTACACATCAAACGCGCACACGCATACGTGGAAACCTTCGTTTTTTCATAACATGACCTAGATTTGCTCACAGTGATAACATAACGTATAGGAGGCTGTTACATGGAAAACAGAAATACCATTAACAAAATTAACATCAAGATTAATTTGTTCGATTTCGTCTGCTGCTGAATAATAAAATACTTATTGAATTCAAAATTACTTTTCATTTTGCGTCATGAGCGTATGTGCATCATCATCATCACTAGATGCTTAGGAAAAAACTTCATAAACATTCAAAAGTTATCGTTTTTCTGCTAAGTGGTTTGAACCAGCAAAACTGGAAGCACAACCGCACGATAACAGATCTCACTCATTAATTGTTATCAAGAGGAAACATTGTCCTTAACTCCGGGTGCTACTGAATCGGACGATGCTAAAGATTGTGCTAGTATCAAAACCATTCTTCGTAACTAAAACAGTTATGCAAAAACAAAATAGACGAAATCTCACAAAGTGTAATTTAGCGCTCTAATTATACTTCATTGCCGAGGGATCTTCGTTGTTTTGCCCGAACTTTTCCGTAGCCTAATCTTGAAATTTGATTATTGCAACGGTTGCCATTTAGAAATTGACTTATTTAGGTATTAAGTTTACATAGACCAATGCCCCAGCCATTGCAAGAGAGTCAATGGACTCTCGATAGTTCTTAGGCTAGATATTCCCCAAATATTTGCTATTTTAACCTGACTGTAATCAGGTATTTTATGTATTCTTTTGCCTTTAGGTAACACAACTCTGGCACTTATTGGGTGCCCATTAGTAGCATTGGAGCGTTGAGTAAAATACATTTATGAACGGATTAAATCGCGTGTGTCTGGATAAAGCCATTTCAAAATTGATCAACGGTCAACAGTCAGTGCCACAAGCATCACGAGATGCTTTTTAAAGGAGTGAAATACATTTTCAGATCGAAACAATGACGCTCTCACAAATTAAGTATCTCAGGAAATTCGGGTCCGGAAATTTACTCTTATGAGCCCAAGAGAGCCGAAGATGCTACTAACGGATCGGAGTATTTATAGATGCTGTCAGCTTTAGTAACCGCATCGCAAAATTATTAAAAAAAAAATCAACAGCATCGGTCAATCGTGTAGATTTAGATCAATAGTGCGTTCTGTTGGATACAAAAGATTACCGTTAGAATTCAGCTATATCAACACACACGCACGCACGCACGCATTTTTGTCACAGACACTGAAAGTAAGAAACATAAGGTACGAAACAATCTCACTCAGTCTCGCTGTGGTGCTTACGGACGCTCTGGTAGGCTTGGAGCTTCCTGCAGTTTCTGTGCTTAAAAGCCCTCTGCATGTATACATTTAACGGTGAAGGATCGCGTCTACTAAAGCTTCCGTCGCCAGCTAGCTTCAATCTACGGCATAAGCCACCGTTTTGCCTCTCGCTCAGTAGTTCAATTGACTCGAACAAAGTTGTCATGTAAGTACAAGATAGTCATATTAATTAAATATGGACGTTTCGTTCTTTGTAATTAGCTAAATATGTGCAGACATTCGTTCGTCTTTATACCAATAATTACCTACGGCCCACACTAATTAGGGGAAAGATGCTATGTTCTGCATCACTAAGACCGCTTTCTTGTCACATTGCTTTTGTTTACGTCACTTTGCATATTTTTAAGTAATTTGATGTCAATCTTCTGTTACTGGGGGGTTTTTGTAGCCGAGGTCGGCGATTCATGATAGATTTTTTTCCTATTATTATTCACTTGTTATTTTACTTAAGGCAAACCCTGTGAGTACCCATTGCACGCGCCATATGTAAAGTCAACAACAGATTAACAACTGCTCAATGTACCGTGCCGGCGCATTAAGAAATCGTCGTACGTCACACACACATACATACACTTTCATGATAAACATTGATCCATGACAGGTGATTACGGCAATTAAATTGTCCATATCTTCTAATTTATCTTGTTGTGTAACAACCGTAATTGATAGGATTAATCGTACGTATTTTTTACGCGTTGCACCTTTTCTTCTATCGCAAAGGATTGACTACTCGGATCTTACCGAACAAGGCTACAATTCTACTTGTGATACGTTGAAATAACTTGAAGATGATTATTTTAAACGAACCATAAACGGATTGTCTATCCGAAACAGGAAACAGCGCGAAGAACTGTAGCACAGACCACTATATGAGTTCACCACTGCGAATCCATGTGGGATGTGTGCTCAGGCAACCGAACATATCGACCTTTAAAGACCACCGGTGAACTGAACCGTTAAAAAATGCCTTTTGAAAGTCTCCTAATCGCCTCATGAAGTTGATCTTTTTTTCATCTCTCTCGACTGTCTGCAGAACCTCCGGGCTCTTTTCCTTATACCGTACTAATCAGCGGGCACCTCGTCCAACAACTGCTGAAGACTGTGTTCTTGACTAATGGCCGCCAGCTCCTTGACGAATTCGTCAAATATCACGATACTTAAGATAGCTCGCGTTTGTGCCCGTACCGCTTCAGAATTGGATCTTGATGAGTCACTTTCGTTTGAAGCGTTTTTTTCACCATAGGGTAGCTTCACAATATATCTGAATGAAGAAAAATAACCCAAAAAGATGGTCATCATTATTGAACTAATCTATTAGTTGTAGGCCACAGTATCCAATGATAACATCATGAAACAATACCATATATAAATATCGCAAGATGAAATACAAAAATACGTATTACGAAATGTCGCCGTGCCTCCGGACAACGCAAACTACTGATATCAAAAGAACCGATATGGATTCGCCTGATAGTCAATAGCACCTGTTAAAAAAACCGCATCCCAGGAGCTTAGCATCAATGGAGCTAATATGCGTATTTATATGGGAAGTTGCATTCTTTGGAATTTCGCTTATGTGCAAGCCGTGCACCTACAAATACAAATTTCATTTGTACTCAAAAAAGACCTTTTTCCATCGAGCAAAGTTCTGCCATGGTGTTGCATTCAAAGCTTTTATTGAGGTCCAATTGTTTAAACGGATAGTAATACATGCGAGAGATTCCTTTTTAAAAAATAGATAACGCTATCGTATAGAAAATACGGAAGGGGGCCGTATTAGCTAGTGCGTTGAAATTCTTAATATTTTGGTGCATCTAGCCTTTTGATGGTATAATCTTTGTTTCAGTAGGCCCATGTTCAAAAATTAGCCGACGTACCTGTAGCCAGAATTATCTGCGATGGGTTGCAACGCACTAAACTTCCTGAAAAAGGTCCCAAGACTTCTCCGACGTTGAGCTGGTGGGTTAACATTCATGGCTGATTTCTCTCTGGCCGGTGGAAGAGTTTGGCCAACGATGGAGCCGGCAAGCGTCAGGTTGGGTTGATTAAGAACGTTTTCCCTAGCCGCAAAGAACTCCCTTGCTCTGCTTAGCAGTACGGGATAATTGCCTAGTTGGATGGAGAGCTGCTCAATTTTATGCCGAAGGCCACACAACACCTAAACGAATAAATGTACACGTTTACTCGTATGTGTATTCATTCTATATTGTTCTCTACTTTGGAAAACTTTTACAATAGACTGTGCAGTTGGAGATGGATCTAGCAAACCGATACAAGAATTGGACAATTTTTCATGTAAAGCTTTAAACTTACTCCAAAATGACAATGAAAAAAAAACTATAAAGCTATAAAACTAATAAAATATTCACCACATAGCAATACCTGATATAGGCTTCGTATGCTTGGTTGGAAGACTATCTCTTGCGACAGGAGAAAGCTGCGAAGTAACGGCTGGGGGTAGAGTGCGAGTCGAGAGATCAGGGAGGTAAGTTGTAGATTGGTGTAGACATCATTGATTGTGATACACTCCAGTCGTGACAGGACCTGTGTCAGGAAAGGTCCTATATCAGCACCGCCAAAATCCTAGCCAAGAAAGAGGACAGAAACGCTTATTATGTTACAGTAAACAAAAATATATAGCCTCTCATTTTTCTCAATTATTTTTTTGTTTTTTGAATCCTTGACTTCATGGTTAGCTCGAAAGTACTATAATTTTTGTAGCGTTGCAACATCTATCAAAAATGTATTTTTTTTTTAACTAAAAACAACCGGAATCGTTCCGTTTCAGAATCGATTCTAATTCCTTGTTACTCTGTGTTATAAAGCAGATGATTCATGGTATATCGAGCAGTCGAATAACGTTATCTGCTTGTTTTTGTAGAACCGTTTTTTACAAGCGCTGGATAATGTCCTAGCACATGAATTTTTATTTCATAATGAAAGCGGAATTACCTTTTGATCATTGACAAATATTCCGGAGTCCTCTTTCTCTTCGGCTAATTTTCCATTATGACACTGCATCGGAGCGCCAACATTAAGTGCGATGCTGGCTTCGTTCCCACCTGCCCCATTTATGTGTTGTTGCTGCTGTTGTTGATTTTTAATGGAAGAAGATGTGCCACTGCTACTTCCCCTGTCATTAGCACTGCTGATGCAATTTCCCGGCAGGTACATGTTGGTTACTCCGGTCACTGGACCGTTTACCGTCGCCCGGGAATCACTTTTGCTCCCGTCATAGTTTCGCGACCAAACTTGACACGCATCACGACATGCACGAATGCCTAAGATACAAGAGAGAAGACGCCTTTCTTGATTTGGATACTTTTTTTTTATCACATTACATAACACACTACATAACACTAAATAAATCAAATGAAAATAAGCCGAATAATCAAAACGTCATCCAGGCACACTAGTGTCTGGGTCAGTTTCAAAAATTACGAATCCCATACCAACACGTCTAACGTAAATGGAACGCAACGAAAAAACTGTTTAGGCAGTACAATGTGTACAGGGAAGAACTGTATAGGTACGTCGTCATGATGAGGACCGGCATAAAAATGCATCGCTAGATGAGTAAGTTTCAAAAATATATAGAGTAAACCAATTTCTGTTGAACATGTTTAATTCTTACCATTTTTGGCATCAAGTAGATAGGCTAAATAACTAATTTGAAACTGGTCGGATATGTCTTGGGCATTTGCGTTCGCATTTGTTGATCTTGAGGCGCCGGCTAACCCTTCTGTATAACTGCGACTTTGTCGGACGTTGCCGTTGAAAGATGTTGGCGGGACCGACCCAGCCCTAACGGAACCCGCATTTGACAAATAGCCGCTCGTCGATTTATTGGTCGCAACTGGAGGAAGCTGCGAAGGCGCTAGCGAAAGTAACCGTTGAGCAGTCACACAAAACGTATCCACGTCACGCATTCGCTCGCGGTGCGAGACCATAACGTGGGAACAAGGAATTAGATACCTACAATAAAAAACGCGTGTGAAAATTACTGATTTATCATATCGTATAGCGTTACGTTGTTAAAGGATGGTCTCTCATAGTAACCAACTGTCGCTGCCATTGATGCGTTCTCGTTTAAAAGTTGCTGTTCTAACGTATTTTTATTTGTTTGGCTTTTCACAAGTAACTGAGTATATATATATATATAATATACAGACAAAAGAACTTTTTTTAATAGATATCTTTTGAAGTTCTTCAGACACTTACTTGAAGACGAGTTCAAACATGACCTCTTCGCAGTTTAAATCCAGGAGTGTTTTAAACAACGCGATGGTAACAATAGCCAGCTTTGAATGAGCTCCGATCCGCAAAATTAATATGTCAACAAGAAGTCGCCGTTCACACATTGTCGTGAGCAAAAAATGTAGAAATACACGCATTAAGCGGGGCTCTGTTACCTTACGAAGAAACAGTTCCAGGTAGCTACAACGAGATAACGGAAATGTGCAGTAGGTGTTAAATGCGTGTGTTGCCGTATAAAAGTTGTCGGCATCTCATTGTCAATTCAGCCATTTTATTCGCTGAACTATAGTGGGTTACAAGTAGTCGATAATTGAAACCCAAGTCTACACACGTATTCGTCCTGTTTTTGGACAGCAATTATATTCCGAGCCGGCCTAACATATGTGGACTAGTGATAAAAATAAATTGGCTTGTTGGGGGAAAAACAGTAACTGTTAAATGTTATTGCAAGCTTTATGAACGTTCCTCATTCAAGTATCGTGCTCGTCGAACTTTTATGGTCTAAAGGTAGTATATTAATAGCTGATAGTTCTAAGCTCATTATTAGTACAATATCATTAGATTATACACACGCAATTATAGCGAAGGGTTCTCAAGTGTGGCATATATAACGAGTGGGTCCAACAAGCGGATTGAGCAAATTACGCAAAGAACTTAGTTACACAAGACCCATGCAATATATAAGGCATGCAGCGAAACAAATAAAAGACCTTTAACCAGTCGAATTGGGATATTTATAAGCCAAAAAATCTGCTTATGGCAAATCGAAATTACACAGTCGTTGTGACTATCTCATCGGTATTGCTTTGGTAGAGGGCAGGACCCATGACAGGTATCAGAAAGCCATGCAAAAGGTAGTCCAAAAGTTGATCCCGAACGAGCGGATGTGACACCTGAAAATGAGCAATGAGTGCAATGAAAAATGAAAAATTTTGTTTTATACATCCGATAATTACTTGTTCCGTCCTATATTTACTGTGATGATGGCGTTACTGCCTTTGAAAAAATAATCGCGCTGGGATACACTCGAAAATACGGCTCTATCAGAGAACTCAACATGGAGGATTAAACATTTGCATTGTGTTGCGTTACCTGCGTCACGGCATTGCAAAACTCGAGCGAACAGAGAAATGCCCCCAGTGCCGGCAAGTCTTGGACGTCTTCCTCCGAAAGTCGATACCAGTCTTCTCCGCAAACCTCCAACTTTCGGGGTAGCACCGAGTACAACCCACTTAGACCTACAGGACGGAATCACGGATTGTCGGGAAAAAATATCGAATAATTTATTAGGTAATCTTTAAGTCTTAAGTCTTTTTATGTTGAAAATTCATTTGTTCTAGGCTTCACTTTAGGCTTATGTGGCTTTCAAAAACATATACTATACCGTTATATATAAATGTGTATATATATGTATGCATATTCATAACGGTAGCTTAAACGGCCAAACCTTTGGCTAAAGTGATCAGGATTCGTCGCTTCAAGTCCTGCTAACAACCTTACCATACTACACAACCTGCGTGTTTGGAGTGAATGATTGATGTTTGTTATTTTACATTTCTCCATCTAACGTGACAAACGTACTTATATAAATATATTTAGTCGACTTATTAACAGATGTAAAAAGTAATCTTTTTATTACCGGTGGCAAGAATTGGACAGAAGTTTGAGTGATTTGCCATATATTTGCCAAGCTCGTCGACTCTCGCATGATTTTTGGCGGCGAGACACATACACAATAGCAGAGCATCCCTTGCCTGATGACCTAATTGGCCTTCCCGATGGACATAAGGAACCAATAGTGAGAACACGAGAAATCGAGGAGGGCCGTGACTTTCGCCTGTGTCTCCTCCGCGTGGACTGCAAAAGTAAGACCAATACGGTAGTTGGATGCGAGTCAAGCGACGAATGCAATGGAATCTACTATGAATATACAATGAATGGCCCGGGCAAATGTGGTATTCGTCTCTACTGATACTAGTGAATACAAATAAACTAAACTATTGTAGCTTTATTATACAGTAGCTTATATATGGTCTTCACTGTTGAGTAAGAACGTCGAACGATTTTAATGGGTGTATTTCATTTGGCTGTCACAATTCTTTGCACACTAGAAATAAATAAATGTCTACCGGCAGCAAACTGATCCACTTTGAGCAGATCGATTTGCCCGCTAGTTATTTACAAAATATTGAGTGAAACGTGACCCACTTAAAAAATATTTGCAGGAGGTCCGCGTTTTGCGACAAAGTAACGCATAACGTATTAAGTAAAGCCACTAGACGGCGTTCCAATTCTTCTGGGCAGTCAGATTCACAAATGGACAAAAGCTTCTGAAGCGGGCTTAGAAAACCCTTTTGGTAAAGAAGACGCTGCGAACAGTTGCTCGTTAAGATCTGAAACAGAGATCAGAAAAGAAAAATAGCTTATAATAAATATCATTGGCATAACAACATATGACTTATTAGTATTTATAAGTTACGAAGACTCAATAGTTCATTGGATTCTACTTCTTAGCTTTCTTCTTCTATTAGGATTCTATTATTATCTATCAAACCCACAAGCTTAGAACTTGCATACATACCGACTGAACGCACGATACGCTATATTTTATCACTGTAATATATATAAGAGTTGTGACGCTGTGTGACACTTTAGCGCTTACAGCGCTCATGAACCGCCATAGTATCGCCAGCTAACCTCAAATATTCGCAGCTGTTCCTCAAGTAAGCGGAGCGTAAATTCGGCTGTCTGTAAACTCCAGTCAAGCACCTTTTCAAGAACGTAGTTGTCAAGGATATAGTCGAGAATTGGAGATATCGCGTACGAGTTCAATGAAGGTGCAGGCGAAGGCGCCGATGATGATGTGGACGACGACAAAGTTGACACAGATGAAGGTGGTCCTGTTATTGTTCCGCCAGGACCAAATGGACCTTTTGCCGCACATTCTTCAAGGATATAGTTCACCATCTGTTCGAGATGGTTAACTATGGCTGCTACGTCATCCTGACGCACCGATAGGCTGGAAAGAAATTCCAAACGGTATCCAGAAATTAAGTATTCAATCAACGAAAAGCAGCAAATACACGCAAAATTGCATCACAGTCTAGGTGGTGGCATCTTGTAAAATCGTACGATCAACTAGCGACAGAAATTCTCTCCATTTGGTTATATAGCATATGTACCATATTCCTCAGGCCATATTTGGCTTAAAGTGATAACTTCAATCAATGTATGCGATGAACCAATTATTTAAGCAGATTTTTCTGTAGTACGCAATCAATTGGTACAAGACTACTTTTACCCACAACAACAACACAAATTATTTTCTTTTATAGAAGTACCTAAGCGAAAGGTCCCATCGTTGCATAAGAGCACTAGCTTGCGTGCAGTGTTCCCGAAAGGCTTCAAGAAGTGTTCGCGGATCAGCATTTTTGAGAATGGCGGCCGGTCGACGAAGACGGAACGAGCCCTGTTTACGAAGCCAGCTCATCTCGAAACAAATTTTAAAATCAGCGGAACAGAACCCCACCGATTTTTCGACTACCCCCACAGAACTCTCTGATCACAGGTCGCTGTGGGCGCCAAGAAGGCGGGCTGTCACCCGCCCGAAGCTAACACCATTACTGCAATTAAAAAGTGGAAACGGACAAAATGAATGTTAGTGGAAATACACGGATAAATAGTACGCGGTCTAACTGCAACGGTAAAGTAACGACATCCGCTTAGACAAGTTCGTGCAAGTTACGAATGGTATTCTCGTTTTAGTTCGTAGCGTGAAATTATAAATAGTACATTACTCCTTTTGCTAATATTTAAACTGATTAAATGAATTGTCTGAAAAAAATCCAAGAATGCACAGAACGGGCAAGAATTGTTGCTTCACAGAAATGGTCGAATTCGCATTAAAACATTTTCACGATTGCTTTGCCGTGGATCTGGAGCAAACTGACGCAACTCTGTCAGAGGCAATGCAGCCTTTTTGTCGGTGCAGCTCAAAAATATTGTACCGTCAGTGTGTGAGAAAAAACTAGTTCAGTAATTAGCATCCATGCTCCGAACTGATCCGCACACACGAGGCGCCACTCTTAACAAGAAAGCAACTCTATCAGCTTGACCTTAAGTTGCCAATAACTTTTTTTTATTTAGAGGCTTATACCCGGCCGCGTTTTACTATCATTGAAAAGTCGTGTAACTATCCCCCACATCACACGAAAGGCGTTGCTAATAGCATTCATAATAGTATTGCTTCATTCGTAACATCCGCTCTAATTAGATGGTATTAGGTGCCTGGTAAATATACCTTTCCGATTATTAATCGTAAGTTAATTTGTGACATATTTGCATAATAAATAAGTCTGATAATTGTTATAATTGATCCCTCTAACTTTGCTTGCCAAGTTCAAATATTAGATCACAGCTTTTCAGACAATCTTGCCTCGTATTCAAAGATACAATTAGACGTAGACACGACAAAAAGAGACAACTCCTAAGATGAGACATATTTCTCTATCATAAGTAGGCTAAGATCATCTCTGAACCCGTGTGTAACGGTAAATAGTAAATAGGCCTAAAACTTTCGATAATTAGATGGTCAATGCATCAAGCCTTCACACAGTTAAATATATTTTGATAAGAGTACAACGTATGGTATTACATATTTCACATAAAATAACGTGCTTATTCTATTATTTCGAACACTAGATGTTAGTTATTTCCAGGGAAACATTCAAACTGATGAAGAAATTTTTCTCTTTATAGGGCCACATTCGCTCTCTAACGAACCCATATGGGTCGGAGGTCTGCGTCATAACAGACTGAGTTTATAAAATGACTTCTTGAAGCTGAATCCATGAAGATAAAGCTTGATTACTGACCTTTAAGTATCGACTCTGACAGCAACAGTATTGCAGCTAACAAGTCTCCGAATTGGCTCAGCAGCAAAGTGCAGTATTAAACTTCCAAAACGGCTTCATCTATTGTGAAGCCATCTCGAGAGATTTCCAGTTCCTTTTCGTTTTTTTTCCTAATACACTTTGTATCAAGCTAAAACTCGTTGACTCACACCCACGACGATTTTAAATTAATCACGCTTCTAGCTATTTCCACAGTTGTTGTTGTTATTATTCAGTGTAGTGCAACGCTTGGGGTGGGTTTAAGTTCTTACTCATTAATTCGCTCGTAGCAGCAACACGTTATACTAAAAGAAACAATAAAGAACTTTCGGAATCCCCTCAAAACATTGCGTGGTGTTGTTGTGAGTTCCGTCGTTAGTAGTACAACTTAACGCAGCCATTAGAACGTAATGTTTGTTATACACTCGAATCTATACACCTCCCTTGTGTTCCATTTCTGCTTAAATCCATCTTGCTCTCTTCTTGCAGATCTGCAAGGGATTATCACGTTTAAACACAGACTTTTTTTTCATTACATCGTTGCTATGAGAAGATCGTGCTCACAAGAAGGAACATTTATTCGAACCACTCCGACGAGGGTAACAATCTCACGCCACCGATCATGCGCAGTCAGCACTACTGCTGTAAATGACTGCTACCGCGTGACGTCGATATCCTCTATGGCAGATGTCAGACGAATCTGTTGCAATTAAGAAGATCGCGACACTGCTATTACTATCACCATTACGAATAGATTTACCTGCGCCGCTGAAACAGTAATTCTGCTTGGCTAATCGACAATGTGATAAAATTGTCTTTTCGTCTACTTCCAATAAAATGTACAGTAGATACATAAAGGCATATTTATGATGATTGTTTAGGATAAGATCTAATTAGGACTGTAAAATTCATGCAATGCATAACACTATAAGCTCTCTCTCTCTCTCTCTCATGTAAAAGCTAACGTCTTCAAACGCTAAGGAAACATACTCCTACGATGGAGTCCACTTTCTTTTTGCCCACCGGGGCGCCTTATTACCAGAGTAGCGCAATCGCATCCTAAACGCGGCAGTTTAGTTGAGAGGTTCGTAATGTAACAGTCAGCAAGGCGAAACAGGTCGTAGGCGATCATAGACTTGCCTTAATACCACTGGGTTGATAACAGGTCGCGTGTCTTCCGTGACGTTTTTGTGATTTAACACACACCTACATAGTATTGAGCACGTCAATCAGTCCTCATGTTACACTCATAATATCTATTAGAGTCGTTACTGAATACTGCCTGTAGGTAGACTAAAAACATGTTCTCCGTCGACTAGAATAAACAGCGCTTATTATAATCGGCTCCACCTGAAGGACGAGAATATGAATCAGATAACTATAGCACATATTCTCCTTCAGAATCTCCGAGTCAAGAAAGGGTATGAACTGTAATAAGCTGGCAGCGTTGATACAAGTAGCTCAGTTCCTCGCAAGATAATGGCCTAAGTTGACGGGAATGAAGTTCACCGGCACATTAAGATAAGAATCTTATCATTATCAAAGGAAACTTCTCAACAATAAGCCGCTACCGAGAAGCTTTTACCCGATTCAAGAAAAGGCGTCGTCCAGTTAAATCGACGCATGGACCTGCATACGGTCGTAATACTATTAATTCTAAGAACGACCAACCCTCTAGCGGAAATGGCCAGAACCCGCCAGGCATGCAACATCGCTATCGACAGATACTATTGTACAGTTAACTGCGTGATAAAATAAAAAACGCGTAGAATATCTGAATCCTCACGTTTAGAAAACACTTGATAACGTGCCTGTGTCAACTAAGCGACCTCTGTCTCTATTCATAATAATAAAAGAGGTTCCATTGTCTTTTTCATCACTTATATTAAGCAGTACATGTTCTATAATCATGAAACATAATTACCTATACAAGAAGCTTGTTTGTGAATTGCGTTTACTGCACCGATATACCGTAAAGCAGTAACTGGGACCGCACGGTCATTCCAACCCATTTAGCCCGTTTAAAATCAAAATATTATATCCTGAAAGGTAACTTAGTCGAACAAGAATTCCAATGGCTTCCGTTTAGAACGAAATAGAATGATGATTGACACAATGCTTCAGTGAAAGGACGAGAACAGTTGTGTGACTATTTTTGCAGTTGCTGTTTTGACCGTTAACCGCTATATGCGACTGGTATGCGTAAGGAAGATAAGGCCAGGACATCATAGAAAGGCGCAATTTATACAGACCGACGGCAAACTAAAATTTATTAAAGGTAAATGTTATCGTCGACCTTACGTTGCCGATAACGCGCTTAGGAAATTGAATATTGAAGCAAAAACCGCGAAAGAGCCTGGAGTAATTAAATTATATCGGGTCCCTACAGATTACCTGAATATATATCTGCATATGTACAAGTCGAAATTAGAATGCCGATGCCTCCTTCTATGCTTATACCTAACAATTATATTTCATGCAATGTTAAATAAATTATTCTAAGGGCTAAGCACATATCGAAGAAAAAAATTTAGGCTGAATGCTTCAAGCTCAACGCGGTTTAAATAAGCTTTATTTCACACTGGTCTCGCCACAGCATGCAGCGGTAATCAGTAAACTATGTAGTGGATATAGCAGCTATATCAAAACTCGTACAAAAAGGGATTTACCCGTTCGTAAAGATAAACGCTTACAGTTCAAGCAATGTAATGGAAATACGTTTCTTCTGGTCACCTATCAAGCAAGCATAGTATTAAACTGTCAAAGAAAACAAGAACATTTCCTATTCACTTCATACTTTAACATACTATTCACTTAAAATCTAACGAGTATTAGTACGCCAACAATAAACACGCGGAACGAACCGCATAGTAGACGTTGATGCTTGGCAAGTAAACTAACGAGTAATTAGCCTGTTTACAGTCGAAAGACCGTTTGTCACCAGGTTTTAAAGTATCGACAAATTACGATACATCATTTGACCGCCTAGCAAAATTCGCTCAATCAATGTACCTGTCTATCCGTCTGCTCTCGCTCATTTGCTTCGTTGAAGCTTTTCTTTTAACCGTCCAAACATTTCTGAGCGACCAAAGCGTTGCCCGTTGTAGGAAAAAAGCTAATAGAGTCAAACGCCAAGAAAGACGATAGCTTGCTAATAAAAAGCAGACAGCTTCTAATAATAGCCCAATTGTTTTCGCAAAATTGCTCTACCTTAAATAAAAGTAAAAACAAAATCAGATCATTAGAATCTGTACAGAGAGGCAATATTCGGATTAGTATTTCATCTTAAATAACTCGACCAGTACAGTCGACTGATTCGCCTAGATAACTAACTTTTAATCAGTTATTGGTGAGCCAATTAAATACTATTTAGCTGAAATAGACTACGGAACTGATATTTCGTCTAACACAGACAATGTAAATTATTTGTTTGATTAACGGAGGTTGTTGGACTGGTTTCCGCTATCCAAAACTGGCTAATATATTGATAAGTCAATAATGATGTCCTGCAGAAAGCTTAGACCCGTTAGTTTAGGCCGTTTGGTCAATTTCAAGCAAGGAACTTCTTCTGCCGTAAAACAGTGGACCTTTTCCCATATTCAGAAAGTGAATTTACCGCCTTCCTCTGAAGGATTATCTAGAATCATCAATAGCCGATGAAAACATGCTGTAACAAACGGTAGGTATCACAGTTTATCTCAAGCAACCTATAGCTGCAGTTACGCTCACAATGGATAAGTTTAGTGAATGTCAAATGGAAAGGAATGACAAATATCCTATTCTGTTGGAAAGGTCACGATTTGTCGAGAGCTATCCCAATGGTAACCTCTTCTAATATGGGGCGAAAACGAGCACCGACCAATGAGTAACTCAAGCCGATCGTGTTTGTAGAGTTTCCGTTTAGCTAAAAAATACCAAGATGCGCCATACGTTCGCCATCTTAGTGTTAATATTTTTTAGTATTTGCTGCTATTGTTCCACGCGATGACTAACTGGTTAGTGTACCCTGCAGATAAGTGATGCAGGACCAATGTTCTAATAGAATTAATATTGATAGTTGTTTAGTTGATCACTGTTCCTTTAATCGGATTACTCATGCTATCAAACCACGCATCTTGCTTGACACAGGGTAAGATAAAAAATATTCAAAGCTTTGAAGAGCCTTACACATTATTTTTATCAGAGAGGATACGATGGCTGTGTCTCAGCAAATGCATCAAGTAAATCTTTTCCCTTAAAAAATAATGTATGTGAAACACGAATAGGCAACCTCTACTAGAAAATAATATACTAACACATAATAGAACGATCGAACATCGAGCGTTAGACAAAGTTCTACGATAGTTAGTGGAAACGACATGAGATAAGTCGACACGACTGATTGGCTAATATAATGGTAACAAAAATAACAAAAGCGGTCGCCTAGCATCAAGTATGCGCCTTGTTCGACGAAAAATTCGTTTTGCATAGGCCATTTCTTCAAGTGTCAACGATACTGTAACGTTCCGTATGTGGTGCATGCAGAATGAAGCTTCTATCGCAAGCTTTTTTTTGCTCTACCATAGTACCAATGTTCATTATACTGCTGTATGTCAAATTCAATTTAGCGGAGATACTGTCATTTTTTGTGTCGCTCGCACCTGATAGGGCTTCAATCATGACCCTGTATCATTGTTCCATCGCTATAGCTTTTTTTGCAGGAAACTATTCCCGAGCGTTTCGAAATAAAACCACCTGTACCTTTTTTGGCTCTCTCGCGCCACAAATTGGAGTCACGGGCACCTGGAGACGTCCTGCGAACTGCCAGCCACATTTTCTGGCATCGGAGAATGACGTTTTTTTAGTTACCGCGACAGCAGTTAAAACCACAAATGGAAAGTTACACATGTCTATTGTGGCCACCGCGCTTTGGATTTTGCTTGAAAATCTTCACTAGGTATGACCAAAGGAAAAAGATTTTGTTGCTACTCATAGTGAGCTTCCTACAGTATGCGAATTCGCCTAACCTTTAATACAAAGGCCATGCACGGATTGGGAAGTTCGGAAAACTAAGAAGAACAGTTACATGACAGACTGGATTATGCCAGAGTTGATTCATGATAATATGAAATAGTATAAAAAGAACGAGACAAACCCGTTAACAACGTACTGCGCCGTGTATTACAACGAACCTTGTACACCGATAATGGTAGCTAGCACCATACACATGATTAATCTGTAGGTCTGAACGTCATCCGTTGACATATTATGAGTTTTTAAGGAACGATTCTCAGCATTCCTTCACACTACCATGTATGTCTACTATGAATCGTCAAATCGCAACAGTACACAAAACGTTCAATTAAAAAATAATTACTACTGAAATAAATTTGCTAAAGGTACCATGCTAAGTTAAACATTGAGCCACTCAGGAAGAGAGAGAGAGAGAGACTCAAATGCATCTCAAAAACGCACCGTAAAAGAGGAAATATTTTTACCATTTGGTCCGCGTTCACCGCTGCTTGCTAGCTTGCTTTATATCTGTTTAGGACGGGCAGGAAGTAAATCTGGCAACAAAAAGTTTCGGTTTCGAAGCGAAGCGGAATGACCAACAAGTACGTAGATTTTTCTTTATTCTTCCTTTCGCCTCGGCGGTGAAGTCGGACCCCAGCGATTTTGTGGACTTCGTATTCCGGCTAAAAGCTCCCACTGGCAGCAGCAGCAGCAGCAGGAATCTTACAAATTAGAACACATTCCGCCGGCAGCTTCGGTCATATCCTTGGGTTCGAATTGCTTGGCTAAATGGTACAATGTTCGCACACTTGTCAGCAGGTGTCATCCGGATGGTGTCGTGTGATGTTTGGATGTGTACGCGCTACAAAAGCTATTCGAATGAGGAAGCTAGGAAAGAATGCAAAGTTACATCTCGACGGCATCAATGGTGATGACAGGAGCGACCCCTGGGGTCTTATTGTAACACCAATGATTTCGTGTCGCACGAGCAAAATTATTTGCATGACTGCCATTGACGTCTAGTAAATAGCCGACTAATAGTACACTAACATAGTTGGAAATCGACATGATACAAAGGCGGACGCCAGAACAACTCGACAAGCAAAACAAAAGGTGAAGTAGCTATCCGGCTCACTGAGAACGAATCCGGATCGTCGCATAATTATAAAATGCTATGACTAATAGAAACAACCGACTTATAGCGTTTCCCGACACATTCAGGAACACAACATGCTTTGCAACAAATAAAATGTCACATTATTTCACCTACAATCAACATACACATGACAGCGGTGAATATCGGACAGTATCGGAGGAGCGCGGACAGTTGTAGTGTCAGCTAGATGGGCTTCAAAATCTGCACGGCGCCTTTGGCGATAAAAGGACCGATAACGGGACCTAAGTAGCCAAAAGCACCCCATAGTAATTCCAGTCGGTGGAAATCATTCCAAAACTAACTCATAAATAAACAATAGATGTACTGTTCATATTATTACCAAATAGGTCAGCGTAAAGTTCGAGTAGAATTTCCTTACATTTCAGGTAAAGGTTAAAGAGGCGCGTATTCTTCTTTATTCTATAATATCGCTTCCACAAAATGTTCTCTTGTCAACATATAACACAAACTTCCTAAGAAGTACAGTATCTGATTGGGAATGAATAGAAGTGCCGTATAAAGCGATGCAATTCGCATCATCTTTTCATATACATGTAGATGAACGTATAGTTCATTCAGCGTTTGCAGGCAATTGAAATCACTTCTTACTAGTTCCAGTTAGTTACCTTCTGGACACTACTTACCGCTTGCGCTTTCTCGTACGAGCGGCTGCCCTGACGACAAATTTATATCCACAGACAGCGTATCACTTAGAGTTTTTATTTTCGGTATAACTATTATTGTACAGGCACTTTTTTCACTCTAGTACATCCTGAGGGAACTTATTTCAGCATAGCCCGTGGTTGAAAAGGATACATTTTAATCATCCATGCACATCAACACTAATGAACTGAACATCTCGGACCGAATCATTCATTCGCTTACGTTCGTACAAGTCGCCAAACCGTTATAGTGTCAATGGAGATAACCGTACATCGACTGACCAAGACTATTTATATACTGCACTCCAACAACGGCCGCATACTAAATGACTTAAAAAGCTGTTGATGATATGCAACTGATCAGCCGTGTCTATTGCCTCGAGAGATCCATACACTGAGTTGCCGGACAATTACGCTAATCGTAGCGGTAGTACCAGCTGCGCTGGCGGTGTCGACTACACTGTCTTACGACTGATTCCTCTCTTTATGCCGTTCTTGTAGCACATAATCTACATAATAGTAAAATATGTACCAATAAATATAACTAGACTGACAATAATCGTAGTAGTATCACTACAATTTAATAGCAACAGTAGGCTGTGTACGGCGCACAGCTGCCACTGCGGCTGTTGACGACACGGAAAAAAACAAGAAAGACCCACAGCAGTAATATTCTCTCAAGAGATAATATAGTCCGCTAGCTGCCTTTAGCAGTGTATGTAACTCCCTATTTACTCACGGGGCGCCCGATATCCTGATCGCCCCTTCGTCCGGTCGTCTGCTCGTTTTTCCGATGACCTGCAGCCTCTTGCAGTTGCTTGGACTGTAGCGGCTGCTATCTGTTCGCGAATGTTTAGTGAGCGGCCAGTGTATGTCCGCTAAATATTCAGTGGAACACAGTTTATCTGCTGGTTGACGCACTTAGCCCGTCATCGAGCTGGCAGGGGGCAGAAAAAAGAGAGAGAAGGTTGAGAGCTGGGCTAGACGGTCGCTGTGGAGACGTTGAATAGCCTATTGCCGGTAGTCATGCGACAGCGAATAGACAGATTGGTTGCTTTAACATCAGCCTGATCGAGAGCAGACGACATTACGACGACTAGCGCCATCTTGAATTAAGACAACGACACGGTCTAATGTGAGTGTCGAACGACAAACGTGTAACGCGCAAGTTGCAGCTCCAACAGCTGAGCAAGCGGAACCAGGTTTCGTCACCAAACCAAGATTCAGGGAGAAAGAATCTTTTCTTACTGTTTTAAGTACAAGTTCGCATGTAAATCGTCGCGTTGCGTTAAAACAGACTACATTGAGTAACATGGAGGATGATTGCTTCTACGGCTGCGGCTGTTTTAAAGTGCAATTTTGATAAAGGCTGATAAAGTAGATAGATAACTAACTAACGTGCCGGTTAGCTACTTGATCTCCTGGCGGCGTTCAGTTATTGGCGACACAGTATAACTGTCAGGCAACGTCAGCTATTATACCTCTCTAGGTCTAACCTTATTTAAATTTTTTTTTTTTGAAATGTTAAAGGTCTCCGCCTTTGTCCCGTTGTTATTACACAAAGCGTCATTCATAAATTTATTTGCGGAAAGCACATGTTGAATGCAATACACGCATATTCATTTATATTAAAACTGTTTAGCTGAGTCGCATATGACATCATGTACTATTGAACCGTAATCTTTATTGCGCTTAATAAAATTGTATTGAATTTAATTCGGCTAGCGCTCGCTTAGCAGAGGCGTATACACTGACTGCTCGGTGGCATCGCCTTTGAATCAAGAGTGTTACTACTAAATCAATCCTAAACTATTATATTTTATAAGGCTAGTAATATCTTATATAAGGCATTGCTAACTCTATGAGCCGCTGATCACCGTGTTACTGGATATACTCCTTTTGGAACTCGAAAACACGTCACTTTCGTGGCTGTAATAGCTGCCGTGTGTTAGTACAAAAACAGTTGTTGGAAATGCCTAAAATGAGCTTCAAACATCAACTCGATTTAGATGACTGTTTATTATCGATCAAAAAAGCTGACATGAGACAAGCGAATATTCAGCACATAGTCGTATTGTTGTACGCAGACACCCTCGTCTATAGCTTCCTATGAGAAGGTGAGCTGGTGTACCAATTACCTTTGGGAGTATACCTCTGAAGTGCATAGTTCATTTTAGTTAATTGTATCTTAGAAAGCGCAATAAAAACTGAAATATAAAACAGGTTCGTGAGAATTTGACGAAACTGCATTAGGTGTTACGCTTACAATAATGATGCTTTATCTAAAACTTAGTTTATTTGGAAATTGTTTTGTTTTTTTTTTAGTAATTGGGTACATTGTGACGTTTCGTAATCTTCAATGCTTTGAAGACGCGACCTGTTCCTGCGAATGACACATTCAATGACTGCTAAACCCTTAAAACATAAAGAAAGATACAGATCACATTTAGACCTATGTATCTTGGAAAGCTATGCCTAGGTTGGCCAGCTGTACAGCTGGAAAAAAAGCCCTTTGATTTTTTTCTCTAAAGATTAAAGCTGACGGTTAATACGTAAGGTAATCCCATCCCCGCTAGTATAAGAGAGACTAGGGATAATAAGAGTGTGATATTTATCAATATTCTTTCAATTGACAGGTTTCTACTAAATTTCACTGGCCATACGCGTGATGAGACTCTTTCACGCTTAATACAATCACCTTATATTATGCTTGGTATCTCCGTTAGCTATTTATCAGACGAATGGCTACATGGCTGGCTCATGTCAGCACGAAACGAACTATGTGTCTATGCCTGAGTTCGAACCTAAACCACAACGGGTCGCTTCTTAAGATTAGCAGGCAAAATGCGGTACCCACTAAGCTATCACGGGAACAAATATTAAGATCAGGCCTCGGTCAAAAACACCGCGGCGGTCACTTCGTCATTGATAGTCGTAGGTTCGAATGAAAATTTTGGATGACACGTGACCATCAGACTTCGCGGGTATGTCATTAAATTTTGTAGTATCTTTGGGTGCCTCCCATGTGCTAAGAACACAGTTCAGTAGTCATTCCTAGGTAGTGTTAGTTAATATACGGTTATACTACCAGGCAACTTTTTCTATGTCATAGCTAGTATGCTTTTCGTGAAAATATATATGTAAAAAAAACTCGGCAAATCACATCAAGATGGCTTCTCCAAAATAATGAACCTTTTCGATACCAGAGTTTCAAAAAGACATAATATATACAAAAAGACATATACATGACCTGGCCGTTGGTTATAGGAAGCATGCAGCAGAAAATAGATTTACGTCAGAAGAAGCTGAATAAGGTTTAATATGCAATAAACCCGTTTTTTATAGCAAAAGTTATTCGTTCTTCGATCTTGGAGGATATTACGTACGAGACGATTATCGAAATTTTTAAGGTTCGTAACTACAACACCTGACATTATGAACAAAGACAAGTTCATTCAGGTTTCCGATTGAATTCGATTTCACGAAGCTCGTGAAGACTAGAATCCAACACACGACTCTTTAGTATTGTCTAAGTTTTTATGGTAAGTGCAGCCGACATATTAACTTCTTCGTCACACTTTGAAGTCCACACTGGCTGCTTTTTAGAGTAATATGATTTATATCCTGTATTCATTATTTGAATTAGTTGGTGGATAAAATATCCGATTACCTGGTGGAGGGAGGAATTTCTGCAAAACCTTTGAAAAGTTTATCATCTCATGGAAGATTCCACGCGGCGTTTTGTATCTGCACGATCGAAATCTAATAGCACTTCCTAGTGACGTTTGCGATTTGTTTACAATGATGAAGTCTATCCATTAGACTATTGACGCTTACTACGCTGAAGTTCTCGATATTCTCTGGGTCCACAATACACCAATAAAGTTATATTCCAAAAGGAAATAAAGAATGAGTCGGAAGTGACCAGATATAAAATAATATTGGTCTAGAATGCGATACAACCTAAAATTTCGAAGATTTAATAAATTAATGGCAGTTACAGAAACACTAGTTAATAATAATAGTAACAGAATATATTGAGTTTGTCTGAGAAAGGAAGTTGATGGTAATAGTTATCAAAGCTACAAAAATCAAAATTTAATAGGCGTTAGTTTCCTGCCACAGAGTCGGTCATCTACATTGGCTGGTCATCGATTTTTATCACATAGATATTTATTTGATCTTTATCAATAATAACAGGAATTAATATACGCTAAATATACAAACAAACAATGAATACAATAATCAAGGCTTATAAATCATTATGATAGCCTGTTAGCCTTGGAGAAGGAATCTAGCGCTAAAATTAGATGGAAAGCGCTATCGGGTTAAAAATCCAGTCTGAGGTTTGTGCAAAGGTGTCACTTTAAAACACTGTTTCGTTCAGAGACACGTCATTGGACGAAATCCGATTATTGTATCGCGCGCTGACACTGATTACACATTCAGCAAAATTAAACCAGCGGAGCACTCAGGTTCAAGATTAAATCAGCAACATCAACAGCTGTGCAGTATATTCTTACCATTACTACGTCACGGCTATTAAAAACAAATAGTACAGAGATCGAAGCCACTGAATAATATTTTGCAAACATATTAAGTAAATAAACAATGGAGCCGCAAAAGCAATCATTGAATAATAATGATTATAACTTCTTACGAATATATATATAACGATGATGAGAATAATGAATAAATGACAGAAATTACCTGCCCTCTAAAACTGTAATTTTCTTAATTCCAGTAATACCTACGAATAAAAAACTGGGCGAACGCCTTTCACAGCCGAATAGCCGAGCCCTTAGCAGTATATCGTCAAAACCACAGGTTTGGGCCCTACGAAGTGATATATTCTACTTATAAAGACATACTGGAACTGAACTGAAAATGATGATGTGAACTAAGGTGTTTAGATCGTTAACGCCACGATATTATATATACCGACATTTCCTTGCAAATTCTGCGTAGAATCTAGTCTCAATGAATTTAGCAGAAAGTTGCCGCATTGCCTGAGACCTCCAAATGCAATATTGAAGTAGCCTTTAGTATTGCGCCAACCAATCAGAAGCTGCTTCGTAATTAATGAACAATAGCTACACTAGTATAATATTGCAAACAAATCAAAGGGTTTTATGTTTATGCCTGTTTATCATTAAACGTATTTTTGTCAGAACAGTAATACGATGTCGATGTAACTTTATTATAATGTTTGATTATGCAAAAATAGTTAGCAAATATTTGCCTTTTTTGCGCCTGCAGTAATGCATACATATTCTCATGAACAGAAAAATAAGGTTTTGTGTGTCAAATATACATTCTATAAAATACGAGTCAGGAGAAATCTTAACTCACATTGTTTTGTTACCGGATTACGTACTGTCCTTCTGTGGTCGACTAAACATGTAATGCTAATCGGATGTCTACCTAGATATTGTCGTTATTTAGATCATATACAGCCGGAATCAATTGGCCACGACTGATTTTTCTTTGACTTCTCTTGTGAATCCAGTTTTTACGGTAACAGCTTTTTGATTCCAAATATGCTACTGATGAATATAGTCTACTAAAATAGCAATAAATAAAACACATATCAAAGAAGCTGTCGGCTCTGTTCTGTAAAGCTGCTCTTGTAGTTTTTCTAGCTATGTTATTAGGTCTTAGGTTTAATAATTAGTTCTTCATTTACAATTTCTGAAATGTTTTGAATTAAATAGTAGAAACTGTAGTACTAGACTTATTTTTTTCTATAATCGTTAAGAAGTAGACTAGAGCGTAGGGCCTTGGTGTTTGTTTGCTGATTAACGATTCGTTTTTATGGTAATGTTAGTTCCGTATATACGAGACTACCGGCGAGCCTTTTACTGAGTTATGTAAAAAACGTGGATTTCAATAATAAAAAAAATCCTAAACAATACAAGAGCCTCCTAGATGATAAAAAGTAAAACGACTCGTTGTGCAACAAGCAATTCAACCGTTTATTTATATCTTAATTACAAACATTTATTTTTGCCCTTAGAGTTATATTTACACAGATGCCGCCCTTGTGGTTGTGGCAATATTGATGACGGTTTACTTAGCAGTAAATAGTTGTGTAATCAATACGAATGTTACATAACTTTAATTATGGAACGGCTTACATAGCATGATTATTCTACCAATTTCCTTTTTCTTACGACAAAAATATTTCAAGATAGGGAGATGTTTGCAGCAAACAGTCCTTCACCGACTAGCTCAGCAGGGGTAACTGTATTGACATAGATTAGGACTCAATGAGTTAATGATTTAACTCACATCTATTGCATACGTAAGGAATACATCCTAGACACAAGTGATATTTTCCAGTTTTTTTGAAAGGAGGTTTTTTGGGTAATAATTCTTTTCTACTAGGTATCTATGTTTCCATGATTCTGCAAATCGAGATGGGATTTTGGAAATAAACAAATATCCACTTTTAAAGAATAAAGGTCTGTTTTGACCATTAATAGTACTTACTTGGGGAAAAATCCCTAAATTATTATGCCTCATTTTTGCTGAAACAAATACCGTTCCGCCTAAATCAAGTACGTAAACTCCAATAGTGAACTTGCATGAAACTTTTCTAAATGTTATGAAAGTATGTTAGACTGAGGCTAGGTTTAACCTGTCATATGAAAGGAAAAAATATCTTTTTGCATTTAACTTAACACGACTTTTGAACTTGTAATCAATTCGCAACAATGGAGTTCATACTTTTTACGGAATCGAAATTCATCCGAAAAGATATCAGATCCCAATCTGCTTGCAAATTTCTAGTCTCCTCTGCTTAATTACCGCTCCTACTATTTTATTTGCGCGTTTACCCATTACATTACCCATAACTCTTGCCACTACGAAGCGACTCTATAACAGGATGAGAGTCTTCGTACACCATATAAACGCCACAGTACCAGTGTCTACAATAAGGTATAATAACAGATTGTCACAGGTTTACATTTTGAATGGTTTCGACTTTTCTCGTTCATATTATTTTATGGCGGACGCACACCATATATAAGCGGCCGTATATAGGGTTTAGCTACTTGTGTTTTCCTAAATTTCTCATACACAGAACATTCTTCACAAATATACCGTTGATCTACATAACAGTTACTGTTACTGTCCTGGCATTTGATTAGGTAGACCGGTAAATGTATATCTACTCGCGACGGAGTTTATCGAGTCGCGCCATGAGGTCGGCGTCTGCGTCGTTTACGTCGCTAGTATTTTCGGCGACAGGTGAATTTTTTGCAACAGTGCCGGTCTGTAGTACACTACCTCCTGCTGTGTCCGGGAGTTCTGTCAATTTGGCAGCAAGTTGCAATCCCAGCTCATCAAGAACCTGAAACAGCCTCGTGTTACTTTGAACTAATTGCTAGTTGTTGTTTTTTTGGTTCGTTTTTTTTTGGAACAGGATTTTATAGCTCAATAATGCTCTTGGTGCCTTTAAACAGAAGCTCCAACAATGTAGCTGGGTCAAACAAAAAAACGGAATGTTTAGTTCACGCAGTGGTGATCACTGGAGTATTCCTCATATCGTCCTAAAAAGTAAGCTCGTAATCGTCCAACAGCAACATGTACTTACAAAGGAATACACCTTGCAAGATCCTCTTTGACCAAAGGTCCAGGTTATTCTGAACCCCAGCTAGCTTCTTTGCAAAAGTAGCCTCTACAATGATCATCTTTTCATCATGTATCCATTACATGATGAAAAACATTAAATGAAGCCTTAGAACAGGTCGAAACCAAAAGGCCTACCAACATATGACTAATCTTAATTTTGATTAAAACACAATGTCTACAAACGTTTTGTATAACGTTTGTAGACATTGTATCATCGCGGCTGTTGTTTACCTCTTTGTATAGAGGTTTAGCATTTAGATTTAGCATACGCCTCGAATCTGTCATGATGTACACTGGATCCTTAAAAATGTGCAACTCAGAGCTAAGAACCTCTACACGAAATCTATTTGGGCACTATATTCGTAAAAATTTATGGAAATACACTTTTAAATAGTAGCATAATAATAATAATAATATAATTATGCTTGCAGTTGTTTTAACGCATCCTTAAGCTCTTGATTATAATTCACCAAATACGGATAAATGACTAATAATGATTTCTTAATTAAAATACACAGGTTTCAGTTAGCTTTAACGATTATAATTCTAGCGTAGTTTTGTCACGAACCATATCATACTTTTATGCAGAGTTCTTATCTCTCACCTGGTTGACAATCTCTTCGGACTCTTCCTCGTCTCCTTCATCCTCCATTGCATCATCGATCGCGTCGTTCATCATGTCCTCCTTAGCGTCCATCATCATAGACTGTTTTTCAAACTCCTATTTTGAAAAGTCGTACAAGGACAATGCACGCGTTAATACACTGTTACTATTATACGCAAATGTGAACCATAACAACCCAACGATATAATAATAATGCAACAGGCTCATGCACAAGGAGAAAAAATTCTGACCCCTTATCTGATAGGCCATACGTGATCTACATCAGAATATCGTACCATCATAATCTTCTGTATCTGCGGTAGATTTAGTTGTCTGTTCATGCTTCCCATTGCGCGGGTCACTCCGCGCATGGCCTGCGCCATCGCATTTTGTGAGCGAAGAGTCTGGATCTTTAGGGAAACGCCTTGTATGTTGGCCTTCATGAGCAGGAACTTCTTGATATATCTACATCGCAGAAAAAACGACTTACATCAAGTTGTGTACGAACAAGCTATCATTTTCTTGTTCTTTATAGAAAAAAAATAAGATGTCGACTGTTTTATTTATTGCTTCCAAAAACTACATCTGTAACTCTATAATATCTGTTATGCAGAATAGCCAAGAGATTAACCAAGCTGATACGAACAAACACTTGGAGATGCCTAAGAAAATCATAGTAAGCTTCTCTGATTGATAAACAAAAAAGTAGCCAAAGAGTTAAAAAAAAGATTCGTTTATTAGAATTGTAGTTTAATAGCAGCTATATTTAGCGTTGTCAAACTTACCTAAGACTATATTATCTAGCTAGTCAGTGAGACGGACGTATAAACTATATAATTACAATGAATGTATTGCTGGTTTTTTCTTGTTGTAGGTACATAATGCCCTCCGGCGGGGCGGTCAATCGCCAGTGGTCAGCGGTCGAACCTGGTCATTGTTGTAAATTTGGTTCCAGCAATAAGAATTAAAAAAGCGTTCGAAGGTTCATCGATATCACGGGGGCTTTTGCAGTTTAAACATGATTATGCAGGCTTCCAGTCCAATATTAAAAAAACAGCGAGATCGCGCTTCATCGCCGCGCCTAAGATCACCACGTATGCTGCCCGAAACTAAAGCACACAACTGTAAAGCACTTGGATGAAAAGCAAACACTACCTTATACACACATCATCATGAACCAAACAAACACCCAATACATACTCCAAAATAAGAGCACACATGATAAACATACGATTTTTCAGGAAATACCTTACAGAAAAAATAAACCAACCCCGTTTAAGGGATGCGTTAGACTAGAACCATCTAGAGCATTAAACAGTTAAACTTGTAGCAGATACTTTCGCTGGAATACGGGCAGATCCAAGGTTCCTAATCGCACGATTAAAACAGTTCAGTACGAGAGGGCTGAAAAGTTTTATATTGCGGCAATCGACGTTGTTAACGGGAATCTAAACACTATTTTTTTTTACTAGGGTCTGAAGGACAGTGAAGAAACCGAACAAAAAGATCACAGTGACATAAGATACCGCATCTGATATTACTATGATGCGTAAATAGACCTGAGATAAACTAGAGAAACCTATATTAGTATCGTGTAATCATTCGCAACGTGCAGCCAATATGCAAGAACTTAATTACTTGGAATATTTTACGACAGACTTCGACTTGTGAGGCGAACACCAATCAAACTGCTATGCCATTGACCACAATATACTATTAAAAATGCTAGATGCAAAGAACATAAAAACGATGTTTGAGGATACTCGGGTATCCAGATGCAAAAGTAGAAGTAGTGGTGATATCTTAGTAAATAACGTGTTTGTATACTAAGACTAGGGTCACGTTTCGGTCTAGGTTCAACCCCGGGCATCGACGTATTTCGTTTCGTTTTAGGAGCCAGGCGTCTGATGAAATGCCTAATGGGAATACCAGACGTAGAGAAGTAATATAACCTGAAAATTATTTTGACGAAATTACCTACGTGACGCTCTTGCGGTAGTACATCAGAACAAAGCCAATGACCTTATGGGCGGATTTTACGGACCAACGCGAATGGTATATTAGAGAACAACCATCAGTACCCACTATCAACACCAGACGACAACTACACTAACGGTGAAAAATACTTATCGACAAGAGATTTTACGGAGACATCTTTTTAGATTGGAGTTCATAACGAATCAAAGAAGTTACTGACAATCCATACTCCTAAAGGCACAATATAAAAGAACCAGCGAGTTCGGTAATGCGGACGCCCCATCGCAACTTACTACTAACTAAAATACTTCTAGAAACTAAAAATTTCTTCTAGAAATCAGTTTTCGTTTAGCAGCAACATTGAAAGATGTCCGTTATGATGTAATTTCACCTGAAGCTATTAACTTTCTTGAGACAAATGATCCAAAATTCTGTCAACTAACGATTCACTATTCTGCTTCTATAACTGGCATGATTCGCTATCCATAAGGAAAAGATGCTTTTTTTCAATAACAGAATTACAATACTAAAAGATTTTCAAGCAGTCTTATCGAAAGAATTACTCGCTAATCACTAAGGCAGAACCAAAAGAAAACAGGCCATAAGATTCTGCATATACTGGCCGCTGATCAATAACGACATCGAAAAATGGTCCGAAAATGCCCTCATCGCACTAAACAATCTAAAAATCTAACGAAAGTACCCATACATCATCGGGATCTTTTGATCACATACATCTTGATTTTGCTAGTCCTCTAGAAGGGGCAAAATGTTTTTCATTACCGTCGACATATATTTCAGGTAGCCTACTAAGTTCAGCTACAAGCTTCACAAAACCATCAACGCACTACGGCACGTATTCATCACTGACAACGACTCCCAATTCGCATCATGAATAGTCGAAAATTTCGTCAATTCTTTAAGAATTAACTATGTCAGGGCTGCACCACTTTATCCGGAGACAAATGGCTGGACAAATATTTGTAGGTCCACGAAGACTTATCTTCAAAAAATCAAGCATGCATATATACATATATATATATATATATATATATGAAAATAACCAGTAAAGGTTGATACCATTTCTTATCTGATTTATCAAACAATAAGTGCTGGTGCTTCTTTCTAGATACTACCTGCACAATTTAGTAATAACTATTGTTAATACTGCCGCTGGTTTACATTTTTGAGCATCAAAGTGTTCGTTTACTATGTTGGAGATCGTATAAGTCGGACATAGGGTTGTCTCGTTAGGAATCATCTCCCTGATTTGAGAAGAAATTTGTGGAGATAGATGCTCTAGCGCCAGCCGCTACTGTTCGTCAGCGGTAACGAAATTCTACCTATATCTATAAGAACAGCGGTTTAAGGTGCTCACTGACACCAGCGTGTTAAAGTAGCTGCAGACTCTGTTCCTCTCTCTGTTCTCTGTCTGGACCTCTGTTCGCAGCACACCAGTTGGCGAGCCCGCGCTGAGCCGTGACCATGCTCCACAGAAACGGCCAGGTCGTCTTGAAGCCGGAAGATAGAGGATCCAACTGGTTTCTTCTACGGAGAGCCACAGTATACCATTCCCAATAAGGGGGTCTCTGGCAGTCCCCCGCGATCGGCCAAACCGGCGGTATCGACTTTGACATCAAGGCCATCCATGCTTAACAAAGACTACCACCGATTGACGTCCAATTTCGTTTCAGAAAGCGGCATCTGGACGAGGGCCTGAGAGAACGTCCACAGTTGTAGGATTTATCAACGGACAAAACTGAACCTCGAGTCCTGCCTGCCCCAGACATTTGCAAACCTCCGATAAGCTCTTTTGTAAAAATAGGCCCGAATTTTACGGGACTTCACTTTGTGGTGGTGAGTATAGGCTATCATAACCGTTTTGCCCACGCGTTCCCGGCTCTCTATATGGTAGCCCCGACTGTGGCAGACGCTCTCGTCTGGTACGACCCTTTGAACGTAACCGTTACGGATAACGCCAGCTATTTCACCATCCATTCCAGCACCCAGTAGTATCTGGCACGTTCCAATATTCACCATGCAAAAATTACCGTGTACGTATGCGCAAGCAAACGGATCGGTGAAGCGGTCGATCCACGCCATTACGGAGCGCTTCTTCGATCCGTCTACCGGAATTCCCCGTTTCTGTCTTCGAGATGCATAATGAATACTACGGTTCGGAAAGCCCTAGGTATAACGCTATTCGATTGGGTGTAAGGTTTTGAAGCCACTAGAATTGCAATCAGTCTAAGGATCCCATCACTTAGTACCCAAGCTCAAGGTAGAGGTCCATGCTCGGTTTCGTTAGGGGAGGAGGGTCCCCGAGCAGACGCCCTCACCCCCTCCCGGAGTGCTCTGGCCAGAAAGATCGGTTCTCAGTCGTCTCCCACGCCAGTACCTTAAGCGTGACGGAAACTGTTGCCCAAGCCTGGGCCACAGTGGAATGCCAAGAAATGCGAGTACCCCGCCGCATGACGGGGATAAGTGAAACTGACGTATAAATTATGTATATTTAATATAATAAAATAATAAATATGTTTTAGGTTCCGGCCGGACATGGTAATAATACCTTCCCATTGGTCGGTCAATCGTTAATCACCAGCGGTCGAACTTCGTCATTGCTGCATCGGATGTGTTCACACAGAAAACTTCCCTTAGTGAAACGTCTTACACATGCGCCTTCTTAGAAGGCATTGTTGTATTTTAAATTTCCATAGCTAAATGTATATTGCTATTTTGGCAACTGATTCAGTGAACTGGATATAGTACTAGTAAGTTTATTACTAACAAGATAAAAACTGGGCTAAATTATCAATTTCTTGAGATATGGCTTTATTGTAAACAAAGCTATGAAAATGGAATACCTGCGCGTGCGCACCAAATCCCTTGCCATAATCTTGACAGATTCCATCTGGTTATCTTTAGCCATTTTCTTCATATCCGCAATCAACTTCTTTTCCTGCTGCTCCATCTTTGCTCTGTATCATCGTTTCACACAAGATTCAGAAAATATTATTATATTAATGGAGATATTTACATCCAATACTTAGAAGCAACAGAAACGGTGCTTAAAGAAGAAGTATTTTTACATTTTTCAATTTTGTTAGGTATGGCCTCTATTTTCGCTTCCAAGTTGTTTTCCTTCACCGTATTAGTCCGAAAAAAATCAATATTTTCAGGTATTTATTTGCTCTTGTTCACCATGTCTCATTCTTTATAACTATAGGATCGCTACAAAAAGAATCACCAAATCATCGACTGTGAATATTTGTTGGCGGTGTTTAGTTACACAGTTTATTAAATCTGTTATAAAATCTAACGTCGTTTGTTCTAATGGTGGATTGGAGGGCTACCATTTTCTCTTACTTAGAATTTTAAAAAATAGCTTAGGTTATAAATCGTATATTAATATGATTATAAAGAATAAAATGAAAGCGTTGTAAATAAGGCAGCAAAAATTCCGGACTAGTACTTTTCCCTGTCAAGATCTCTGATTGCTTTGTTTAGCGCCCGCTGATTTTCTCGTAGCATTTCCTCCGGCGTCTTCCTGCGTCCGAACAACCATTCCATTTCGTATCGTTTAGACTGAAATACAGAATTAAGATATTGTACTGTTTGTGTTCTAAATAATGATAATAATAAAAATATTCTATGGCTATCAACACGATGATTTGAGTCTGTGAAAACTAGACTTCATAGTTAATATATATAACGATAGTTAATATATTATACCTTTCCGGTGAGAGAAGTTCTGGCTTGAATCGTAAGTACTAAACACTTTTAATTTTGTTCTTCCTAACGCAATACTCATATAACTACAAGAAAAGGTATAAACGTCTCCTCCTTTCCGACTCAGTTCCTTTTATTAATCTCACCTAAATATTTCTACATGACGCACCTTGTACACCTAATTTGATTCGAAAAACCGCATGTTAATGCAGCAATTGGATCAATAACCAGCAGAAAATAAATCAATGACCTCATACTATTACCATGAATTGAGTGAATTAAAGACTCGCCTAGGGAATGGATGTTTACATAAAAACACTAATCAAGCAGCGTCATAGGCGCAGATATCGAAAACCAAATTTATCCACTAAAGTCTTGTACTATTTGGCAACAAGGATTACATTTAATAAGAAAAAATGCGGAACTGTTGATTTGCAAGAGGTTAGCACTCCCATGTTACCCAAGAATTAGAGAAGGCTATCACAATAAAAAAAAACTGGATTCTCTTTGTCTTCCTGAAGCTTCTTTTCCCAATGCGTTGTAAGAGAGCTGTTGCTTCCGACTCATGCTATGACTGCAATATCGCGATGCTTGATGATCTAAAGCTTGCTGTGGGGCACGTTCCCTTTAAATATTTGTTAAAAATTTATTATATATATATATATATTTATTTAAGAAAATTAAAAACAACCAGCATTTTTTTTACTTTTAATTGTTTGTCGTAGCAGTCACTGTCAGCTGTTACGGTCCATTAGGTCACCTACAAGTCTACAGGCTAGGTGTTAAGCTTCATAAACTTTATAGATCATATAGGAACTTTGAAAAGAAAATAATGATTTCAAAACTGTTATCCAAGTAAAAAGCCATAGATGCAAGGTGCATAAAGTAATTAAAGGAGTAAAGGAATCAAAGCATACACCGCTCCAAAATGATTTCAGTGAATCACTTCACGAAACATTGTCTAGTAAAAACTCAATAGGTGTTCTCTGCCAGATTAACAGCATAATAATTACTATATAGGGATTACCGTAATTGTAACTTTATAAATAGTGCTCAATCTCGCAACATATTCGTAACACAAAAAGAGAGGGCCATTGTTATGGCAGAACGCCTAGAACGAGAAAGACTAAGTCATGCTACCTGTACTCGTGGCTCATACGCCAAGTGTTACGCTGAGTAGCGCACTCAGCTTAAATTGTTTTACTATTGGTAAACAATCTTTTAGGATCTACCACAATTGTTTGTAATAATCGACATTGTTACTCAACTGTCAAGCAGAAATGCTTCTACAGTCTATCAAAGCCTCGTATTCTAATAAAGTCTTATCAATTTCAGACGCATTTGAAAATCTCTTAGTTGAGTATGGGCTGTCCTGGCTTCCGTTTGGTGTCATGTTGCGCCTTGTCAACCAATTGCAGTCGCGAATTGTATTCTTGTATCTGCGTGCCGGTGCAGTATTTAATTCTGCCATACACAAGAGTTAGGTTACAGGTTTATACACAATAAAAAATAGGTAGGCACCACTTGATGAACATATATACAAACCTACTGAAGGAAGACGTTTTGAAGAACGAAGTTGCCAAAAAGTTACCACAACTTTCATCAAACTGCGGCCACAGAATAATACACTTAGTCACACAGCTGACAATGATGACTCTACTGCTGCCAAGCACTGCAGCAGGGCTTTCTTGTTTGTGACTCATCCGCTAATCGATTTTTTCTCAGCTGCTCCACTTCAGTTCCTTTACAATGTGATATTATTCCGCCAAGTTGACAATAATACATTTGACTAACTTGAAAGGGTCGCTAACTTGAGACTACTAAGCAGTTGGACATCACAGCTTGCTACCTGATTAATTTTTTTTAAGCCCATTTGATCATGAATTTCATTCCGCTCTTCTTAAGTGCCAGAAAGAGTTTAAGATCTACTTAAAGGCGGAGCATTGAGCTGCGCGTCGTCTGCGCGCGGCGGTCAATTATGATAACAAAAATCAACAAATGCAAAATAAAAACATATTTCACATGTGCACGGAAACCGGCGCACTCGGCTGTGAGTATGTGTAAATCTCAATAAAAGTTTGTTCTACATAGCTACTAAAGTCGTTACCGTTCGTTGTAATCATAGTGCGCAGGAAATTACCGCTAAAGTCCTAAAAATGTCTCTGTCGGTGCTAAAAAAGGCTGCACTTCTTATGGGCGATCTGGAACACACAGGTAAGGGAAAAATATTAAAAAGACTTTTTTATTTAGGTAGCAATTTATTAACAGCTAACGTTTTTGGTGTTTTATTGGTTGTTTCTTGTTCTCTTAAAAAAGTTGGGAATTTTTCAATAAATCCTCGAGCATATCAAAGTGTTTGTCACAATTTATTTTCCATGTTTTTTTACAACTGCACTATTTGAAAACACTCCGAATAAAAAACGCATTTTATTATTAGGTATGAATCAGACAATTCGAAAACTATGAATGTATATAAACATTCTATCAAGTAAACAAAAATTATAGACGCAGATTTTTTATATGTATTGTCTACGTGCAGGATGAATGAATAGATCTGTAACATTTTATTTTTATGCATTTAGTTCTTTCGTCAATTTTCTTTTTTAAACGTTTTGGTTATTAGCTTACTGTTAGTGATTACCGAAGTCATAAAAAATTACCTTTACCCGTCGACATCAAGCAGTGCTTTATGCACTGTTATGCACGAAGAGTACTGCTTAGCGGAATGTTCATTTCGAACTTGATTTTGATCCGTGTTCTTCAGAAAAGACTAAGAAATCTGCAGCAAAGCAGATTAATAGGGTCAAATTAGTGAAACTGTCTTCGATAGAGAAACGGACTCGCAAACTTGTTGAAGAAATTCGCAAGAAACGTCAAAAAAATTACATGAAGGCGAACATAGAAAGGATTAAACGGTACGTAATAACTAATGGCGTTGGCATTTATCTATTTAGTTATTTATCTATTGAGTTTTAGAATTTATTCTAATTCATATCGTGAAAAGATAACTATATAGTTTTTTAAAGCTCTAGACCTTTAATAGCATTTTTCAGATCAAGAAAAATGCCTTGTGTACTATCTGTCTTATTTATAGACTGCTAATGTCTAAGAACATCATACTGTTAGTAATTTTCCGGGGCAAATTAGTTCGGTCCTACCTCGAGATCTGCGAATGCATCAAACCTATTTCTCTGCATTTTCTCCTCCATTGGACAGATACAGCACGAAAATTGACAGCTACTCGAAGAAGATCCTGTCAAACGATTTGGTTCGAGAGAGATTATTTAAAAACAACAGGGACTTTATATCAGTAAAGGACTCAGATAAGGATAAAGAGGAAGAGACTTCCGTATTTACTGATGAAGACTTTAAGAGGTGTGTATCGGTTAAGTTGTCACTTGTAGCGTTTAGTTTGATCGTTTCCATGATGATCTAATATTAAGATTTTTTTTGAGGTATTACTTATTCAACCTATAAACGAATTTTTTTTTACTATAACTTGGCTTTATCGCAAAATTCTCTCAAAGCCATATTGTGCAGAAAACGAAGAAAACTTAAAATGCTTTTATACGAATGAAGCGTTATTTTTCTTGTGAAAATTTATCGTACCAAAGTGAATTCATCGGTATCGTTCGATACATTTAGCTAAAATACATTGTAGTGCTTTTAAGTAACATGCTTGGTTATTTTGATCGCAGGTTTGAGGAAGAGTACAATATACATTTCACAAAACGTGCGAAGGAACGTGCAGAATTTAGGAAGATGTTGAATTGAAAAAGAATCCTAGCACATAAACCGTGACAATTTGTCTATAAGGGTATTAGTATGTATTTCAATTTGAAGTGTATCTGTTATGTCTCACTTCGAAAGTTAGATCATTAAAATCAGCAGGATAAACAGCCCAGATATAACGTGCTGGTTGAAGTCAACTTAATGCATCTATGGATTTGTGTCGTGATGTTCAAGAACATAGATTACCACTCAAGGGGATAACTCTGTGTCTAAAATAAATTAATACTTCGCTTACGGTATGGTCTTTGTACTTAGCTCTTTTTTTTTGTTTGGAAGTTGATAGCAAGTGTGTTATGACTTCACAGACTTCACAACTGTGTTGTTTGTCTGATACTGTGGGACCATATCATTATATCATATAACTAAATAAGGGGCATTGAAAACAGGGATTTGGGCAAACAGAAATTTAAAATGTTCCGCTAATATTGTTTCTGCCGGAGATAATAAAATTGGTTGATTAGAGGAATACTAAGAAGATTTAGCGGTTTTATGAAACGTTGAGGCGTTAATAAATGTCCTCTCTGTACGCTCCACAATTGTTATAAAGATTACAGCGTGCAATGTATTATAGTTACAACCAGTCTACTCATCAAAGATAAAACTACCTAAGCAAAAAAGAAGAGACGGCAGAGTATAATAAATTGCTTTTTAGGAAGCCTTCTGTTAGGTATAATTTAACATGTCCGCCCACAGCCATATTTTTACCTTCGATGTAGTTATTCCAAACCCAATTAAATACCAGGTTATCACTTGTATCAATTTGCGGTCGTTCTTATATTTTAGATCTTATATTTTAGCTACTTTTAGATTTCAGTCACGAGCCTTTATTGATCTAGATAGTTGTTTGAGCTAAGTTAATATCGACCTGTAATGTCAAGATATATATTCTGTTTTCGGCGTGGCACTGCAGTTAATGATTCATTTTTCTGCCTGAAACTAAAAACTCATCGACCCTCAACATGGTGGAGACTTTTCCAGATTCTTGGGTATAGTGACATATTGTCTGCTACAAGCCTTAGTGAATACAATTCCACCGGATAATTATAGTTTTTAGGTGAAATTTTGCAGGATCGCCGTCTGTCTGTGTCTTTTTATGTCGGGCGTGAAAAATGAACTTAACAATTAAAAAAAAATGTACTTTTGTGTTAATCGAAATCAGTAGTTGCGTGCATCGACGATGATTGTTAACTTCATATTTTTTGTTTCGTTTATGTGTTTTATAACTTAACATAACAGCTATACACCCAAAAGTATTTCTATATTCTAGGTCTGTAGAACTCATTCACCCAAAAGTAGCTTACCCAGGTATGACACAATGTGGTTTTAAACCCAGTCCGGCAAAACATGTAGTTTTCTGGCTCTTACTTAGGATTTACTAAGCGCATGTTTTCTTACCGTTGAACTTCATTTCGAGTTTGTTTTCAGATTCGAGGAATGTGTTTATTAATTTCAAATAATTACTTATTTATTTGTGCTTCATGTAGGTTTAGTTGTTTGGGCGTGATTGAAGAATTAAAAATGGTCAATTTGCTACTATACTATACTAAATTACTAAAATTATACCTAAATGCTTAGAAAAGAATTAAAAAGAAACACTTGCTTCTGACAATACCTTGGTTTTAAGATTACCAGTGCATGAAAAAAGCTGATAACCGCAATGTTTCTAATAGATTCTGGTAAGGGTTGCCACTCAGCACTTTGATCTTTACATCTATTGGCATAATGTCCTTTTTAGAATCTAGTTTGGATCAAATCTTTTGGATCATGGGATCAATCACTTGGACCATGCAAAGTTTATTATTATTATGCACATTCTAGTGTCTTAGCTTAACGACACTAAAACGTGCGTTACGTCCAAAAGAGCATATTAAAGTTTGTAATGGAAGGACTAGGCATGTTTAACATAGTTCTAACGCAGGACAAACAAAGAAGTGTCTTTAGTTTTAAATGCCATTTAAGAATCTGTCTAACGCGTACAGGTAAATAAAGAATCATAACATAGTAAGGTTTTCAGCTTAGCTTTTTGATGAAAATTTCACGTATAAATGTGCCGTGTACAAAAATGCAATCAGGTAGTGGCACAGAAGCCAACCAGGACATGGCGTCTATATTATCACATTCGAAGCACGATACGTTATCTCATAGAATGCTCTTAAAAGGAGTTTCCTAGAGCAAATGTTAGTTGTTATAGTAGTTCTATTTTGAATTATTTTTTGAATAAGGTAGCTGTCGTAATTGTAGGGTGTTATATACTGACTCGACAGCCTTTTTAAAATAGATGCTGAGAGTAAAGTGAGATAAAAATAATTGGTTATGTACATTAGTAAACAATACTTAGTTATAATAATATTTACATTATTTATTTAGTAAATAAGTTATATTTTATAAATAACGGTTCCTTAGAGTTAAGTTCACGATAGTTCACTTTAACACATTCTGTGGAGTATTTGTGTAGTCCTAACTACGGGTTCAATGATTGTAACATAGATAATTTGCAAGTGACAGCTCGAGCTGCAGTCGTCATCACCGCATCAAACACGTGCGCTTTGTAACGCATGTCGCCTATAGCCTCATCGCTTTGTTCTTCGATTTCTACTTACCTTAACCTGATACGTTTATTCTTTCGAGGCAACTATTGGTATGGGCATGTCCTATAATACTATCTACTGTTTTCGTCCTGGCGCCATGTCGTTTAAGGGTAAGTCGATCGCCTTAATACGTATTTGCGGTTTCTCGTCCAGGCGCCATCGCCAACCAGCTGACCGTGACGTCATAATCTTCCCTCTCTTCCCCTCAGCCTTGGTTAATGCTTCCACCGTAGCCTCTTAGAGGCCACGGTACAGCTTGTCTACTTGTGTGATTACCATATAGTTTGCTTCTTACACGACTCCGTCCACGACAGCCATCTCTGCTAGCGGTGCTAGCTACCGGCGCCAGCTACCGGCGCCAGCTACCGGCGACATACAGATAGATCTACTCGCGTGTAGCTGTATGTTTTAATACTGTACAGTTAGTTCGCGCTCTCTTTCCTTTTTCGCTTGCATCGGTCCGGCTGTCTCTTCACCCGTGACTTTTGATTCGTGTCTCATTTGGCGAGCGCCTACAGCTGCTAGGTGGGCGCCACTATAGCGACGATACCGTAACACTGACGAAGGCCCGGGCAGAGAGTAGTTGCCGCACTTACAGAGCAGACATTCTCTAGTCTATTTCGTCTATACACACAATGAGAGACAATACAATATGTTAAGTAGTGTTTGGTGATTCTAAATTCGTTTTACGTAACGCACGCGTATTGTTTGCTTTAAACGAGACCGACCGACCGACCGACAACGAAAGGAAGAATGGGATGTATCCGTGATATTAAATCGTAGCATTATTATGGTGTTCTTTATGCTTACCCCAAGGTAATGTAACGTAATTTCAACTACAAGTGTTCATATATGTGTCAAACGTGGAACGCTTTCTGTCACCTTACGGTGTTTCGCATACACACTTGAATGGTCTAATCAACTCTAAGAGAAGAACAAATCTAGTTACTCGATTATGCTTTACGACTCGAGTATTCTATTCAATTCAAGGTTCTAAAATGTGCGTTTCAAGTTTCATATAATAAAGAAAGCACAATTAAATTATTTTTTTGATGATCACTTTTTCTAATTTTCTTTTTCAGTAATTATGGCATCTGTCTGATTAAAATGTTGTATCGATTATAAAATTACTGCTGTTATTGACTTGAAAAGCTATTATTAGATGCGAATTAATAGACCACTGGTAGTTATTTATGAAATCTACTGAAACTTCAGATTATAAATCTGCCTAGTAACTATAGGGTAACTCAGGCCTTTCGTCGCGTCAACTATTACTTTGTCATTTGTGATATCTCTTGACTGTGTTATATTTAGTAGGTTCTGGGCGTATAATAGGCCGCTTGACTGCTTTTGTTTTCTTTTAAAATTGATCATTTGTAGATTGTTTGATCATGTTCGACTTGCATCAGTTTCTGACGGTTCTCCCGCGCAACCGTCGATTTAAGTGTTGGTTGAGTATACGTCACGATACCAAAAGTTGCTTTACCGCTTTCCTGCTCTCCGACGAGGGGGTTTATTACAGACGAACATCTGTTTGTTGCTAGGTGCATCTAAACATAGCAAACTCGAAGGTCACTCCTCACGCCATATCCATACGAAGTTGAATGAGTTAAGTGTTCTACCAGAAACAATTAACGGCATATGTTCCAACTGAAATTTCAGTCGACAGCCGAGGAATTACTTGTTGGGTCTTTATATAAATAAGTCTATAAAAATAACGACAAACAAACTAAGGGTTATTACATAAGAAAACCGTAATAGGACAGAACTTAGCTTATTTATTTCTATCCTCGACCCACAAATGGCGGTCCAATGTGCTCATACTGATGCATGTGGGCAATGGTCGATGGTGGGGTATTTGTGTTGAAAGGTTCCATCTTCAGTTAAAATTGAGTTACCGAGTTTTCGATTTCCTTTGATGTTTCCAGATAATATATTTAGTTCGTCTCAGAACGTTTAAAACATGACATTAGTCGAATTAAAACAATCGGCAAATAATGCCTTTGAAGTCAAAAACACAGACAGGGTGTTCAGTGTTATTTTCTTAAAATGCTAGGGAGTGCGATAAATGACATCAATATATTATATACGTATATTATAAAAATCACATAACAAACCATGGGACGAATTTCCCCTTGACAAATTGCGCATTCGTCAAACACTTTCTCAATAACGTTCAATAATATGCAATGACAGGTTGTAGTCACATGCTTATTCAGTCGTTCAGAAACGGCAGCGGACATGGCCGTATGTTTATACACCAGTTACATCCGAACAAGATGATTTCTAACACAGAATTAGATTCACATTGCAGGTGCCCTTCGGTCTATGCAGTAAACATATAATACTTCGCACGAGTCTGCAGGATCAAATACTGAGATGTTTGTGCAGTACATGCTAGGTTATGTTGTACTACAAACCCAACAACTTTGATCGGATAGAAATTGGTGCTCAGATTCGCCTTCTGATATGTCCTCAACCACTGCATGAACGACATTTGCCTTACCGGCTTTTCATGAGTGCTTAAAAATTTGGGAACAGATATGAAGTTAGTCGTTTTTCACTAAACGGCACAAAACAGAGTGCATGATATGTACGCCAATACGGGCCTCGGAATACTCATTGTTGTAAAAAGCCCGTTGAGGTCAATCCTAATGCTTAAAAAGATTTTCCATTATTTAATGAGAGTTTTGTGAGACTAAAGAAACTGCTGTTTATGAGTTATGCCCTTGCCTATGCCATATGTGCAGCGTGACCTGCAAACTTTCAGAACAATTCACGCAAACATTCGTACAAAAGTTTCAATCACTCAAATGCTATGGCTACGGATTTATTTTGACTTGATGATTTCTATCACTCTAGCCTGGTATCATTCCATGCAGGATCTCCGCAGTTGTGATTATGTATTTTGGTCGATAAATAGGCTTATTTTACAAAACACGGTTAGCAATGCCAATAACCAATTTTTGTGATCATATGTAGATTTCTTAATAGGTGTTTACGTAACTACAGAAATATATACTTAGGAACTACAAACTCATGGATACTACCAAAAAATTGTCTGTTATCAATTACCCAATCCACCCTGCATTTGCGTACTCAAATGATGTAATTACTTTTTAGTATTTTTTTATAATTATTTTAACGGAAAGAATAATAATTTAACATGCACTCACACCAACGTTTTTGAACATTAAAACACAGAGCATTATTAGGCAGGAAAATCATATTGCCGAACGCCAAAAGTTAGGCAAAAAGCCTGTAATCTCACATAGTGCGCCCGTTATATTTATCAAGTGAACACATAGGAGTACATACGACAGTAAAAGCGATCCTGGCAATAGCAGATCTGTGGATAAGTGATGCATAACGGCATAACGGTGGCCGCTGCTTTAACAAGGCTCAAATTCGTCATCGAAAGTACATCATTTCTGTTGTCGTTGTTGAAATATCCTTTTGACACTGCTACTTAACCGGCGTTATAGCCCCGATAAAGCATTATGGTTACTACAAGCTGAGAGTCGGCCATTCGACTGTTTGCACGCTCGTTTCGGCCTAAGTCCTTGGGACGATTTAGCAAGGCTTGTCTATATTAATAATCTGGCACTATTGAATTGACAACTGAAGAGACAGCAAGCGCTTCACAGGGAATGACACTGAACGCTGATTTCTACACGTTGCTATTTCCCCAGGTGAACTGGCATCACGAAATGTATTGTTTGGCAGTCGTCGCACGGTCCGCCCTTTCCCGTAATGCCACTCTTTTAATAACAGTAGCAAAGGCAACTCAACAACGGTGAAGTTTCTGTTCCCCCGTTACGGGCACCAGTATCACCACAGTCAGTAGTGCCACCAACTATGGCGGCAGTAAAAATAAACATAGTTACAACAGTTCATTCTTTGTGTGCGATTGCAACGCATAAGGTATCGAGGGCGGAAGCTAGTTTTCTGCATTTTTCAACCACTTGTGTATTTTTTTATAGAGTCGAACTTCAGCAAGTACTAGGAACCTTATCCTGTCTTGGACCTCTTAGCGCTTATGTTGTCATATTTGGTTCTACTTAGTTCAGAAAAGAAAAATCCGTGCTTGTGCCGGTCACGAGTTCAAGCAATGATTATCTGTGGGCTTTGTTATTTCATAGTCAATTTCTTCAGTACGATGCCGTCAACAGGAGACGCACATGGCCTACTCCAGTTGATTTGAAGCGATATCATTGCGTTCAGGAAGCCTGTAAGGCCAAATGAAATGAATATCAATATTGAATCAAAACTGAATGCATTCATGACTTCGTGTGCTGGAACTCCGTGGAAATCCCTCTTTTTTTAAAGATCAGTCGATAGAGAGTAACAACAAAGCTTTGTTGTGGGGTGTGCAATAGTGAACTCTGATAAGCGTGCTTTCAGTACAAGAAAAAGGACTTCGTACGCTGATCCTTGAGGATTAGCGACCAATTGTTAGCGCTATCTACACTATGTCTCAGTGGAATGTGTATGCGTGCATGTATGTACGAAACTGACTTGTACTATGGCTGACTTAGGATCGCACGTATGTAAAATCAGTTACTGAGCATTCCTTTAGTATCCTTGCATTGGTTTTGGTAAGCAGCTATTTTTTCTATATTTGTTTTTGTCGGATACTGTACCTATTGACACTTTTATCGTAGGGCTAATAACAAGTGACGAGATACTATTGGAGAACTTTTTGTGGCAAATTTTAAGTAGGAAGCCTGTAAATTTGTCAAGGCAATCAGACAGGACGACAGCCTATTAATAGTTCAGATATCGGTATCAGATATGTATGTTGCACTTGCATCACCTGTTGACAATCGGAAACTCATTGAACTTGCCAGAAACATTTCCTAGAATCTGATTTTGGTCCAAATTGGTGTGGATTTTAACTAGGTATGTATTTGTTTTCCTACCGCCTCAGCACTAGCAAGAGACTCATACAAATTCAATACCAATTTGCGTGCGTTTTTTGTTTATAGACAACGGTAAATGTCACTGTTTTATTATTTTGTGAGCACCGGCCCTTGCATAGATGGCTTAAATATTGTGAGATATTAGGTGTGAAGTTAAGGGGTTGTTGGTTGTTTTTCATTTTATTAAACCGAATTCGTAGATTTGTGGAGTGTACCGTAGCCTAACGAGATGGATCATAAATGTATGTAAGGCTAATTGTCGTAGATGAAATAGTTGCATATGCGATAATCTCCCTAATAATAACCTTTTCCTAAGGAAGACATTTTTCACACTTTAAAAGATAGGATAACTTAATAAAAATATTAAGTCTACAGAGCGCGCGAATTCTACTGAAAATACTTTGTAAATTACGCTCCACGCCAGCATGATGACTAGTCTGTGAATGTCGTCTTTCTATACTTTGACGCAAACAGAATGAGTTCTACCGTCGTTTTCGTACGATCGCCATTCATTGGTGATTGTCGAATCAGCATAAGCTTTGACTGAAAACATTAATAAAACTGAGATGAAGGGGTAGTCAAACCTGAAACGGGAATCGTGCAGCCGTAAGTTCTATTTGTTACGCAGAATGTCACATTGACTAATTCGATAGATAATTTCGTTAGTAATTTAATGTAGATCTATGCTTTTCAAAAATATTTCGAAGGGCTCTTGAAAAGCACCAGTTTAACATAGATCTTGGCTCTTACGGCAAATTGACCTTTTTCACCGTTTGGCAGTGAGAAGTGGGGAAATCGAGTTGTTGTAAGATAGCAGAAGTGCTTTTTGGCCAAGATGCTGTGTTAGTACTGTGATACTGGTATTTTTCCATGCAATAGGCACGTATGATATGCAGCCTAAACTAGTCGCTCACCTTCTAACTGTTAGTCATGAGTACTACAGCAGAAATATACCCCGTTTGCCAGAATAATCGAGTAGGTGCCTCCAATATCATTTCGACTTTGTACCGAGTGTCAATTGTTTGTCGAAAAGATGTTTTTTTTTTTTACAGCGGACGGACACAGCCCTGTATGTGCTTGATTCGATCTCTTAATGTTTGTTTAATGTAAATCTGTGTCCCATCCTGGAGTTACATTGAGCCAGGTGTTCACATTGCACATTCATCAGTTGTCGACTCACCTATTTCAATAGATGATTTAATCATATTGCGAAAAGTTATACTCATGATCAACAATAACTGATTTTTGCAAGTTTTGAACTTGGTCCATTATAACGTTATCTCATTTTAATCGGGCCTTGTAGGCATATACATGTGTATACTTTGGTTAGCCACCTGGTCCTGCTTAGGTCCAAAAAGATATGAGTCGACAAAAGAATAATTTCGTATGTCCCAGCACTATCATTGATCCACATTTCCGGCACTTTCGCAGACCTGCCAGCGCGCTCTAAAAACAACAAGATCATATAATACACATTCTAGATCAAGGGTTGGCAAAGAATACTCTCCCGAAATCGCTGGAAAGATGCACGCATAGCGACACACAAAAGCACCTACAAATCTAAAGATGGTTTATCGACCTTTATGCCCTTTCTCATCAACCACTTCGTTAGGTCAGAAGACTACATTGTAACGAAAGATATGCCGTTTTTTTGCGGATTATAAGCTCTAAAGAAATAAAGTGTCACGTAATGGTTATAACCGTTTCTGGCGTTGCTGTTGCGCTGACAGTGGCCACCTACGTGGCTAGGGAGTAGTTTTAATAGAACCACTAGTTCTATTTTGTGCATCTGCTATGTGCATGGACGGGCGTATGTGTAAACAGCGTTGATGGCGACGAGCTCCTGCGATCCGTTTAACTGTCTGTTTTGGTCGATTCATGGTCATTTATTATCTACTGAGTAGTTTGGAGACGCCCATTTCCACAGGGAACCATCTCGTCACTTAAATGAGTAACGTTCACCGTCTACGCCGTTTTGGGATCATGTCATGCATTTAAAATGTACCTGGTCGGTCGGTCGGTCGTCTTCGTCTAATCATGGGGATGACCGTACGCGCTATTTTTGAACTCGCGCCTTATTTGCGTTTATGACATTTAAGGCACTTTATCTTATTGAAAACACTGTCACCGGCGATAACGAACGCAGAACTACGATACTCAGTTTCAAGATTTTCTGAAAACAAATGCATTGTTTGTGATGACCTAGTCGCTATAGGCACATGTGAGCGTGCACGTGCTCGGATAGCTAGGTAGTCTCTGGGTGGATATTTTGCGCACGACGTGCTTTATCATCGCAACGTTTACAACTTTTGATTTACTTTACAACAGTTTAGTAATCTGCAAACCGCATTCGTAGTTATTAAAAGTACTGGGGGAAAGTATCCTCTAAATTGTTTTGGAGCTGGCATCATCGTACTACTGAAGTAGTTGGGAAAAGAATGTGGTGCAATCGCGCTTCTTTATTAATTTATATAAATAATCAGTCAACACAGAATTAAATTTTCTGGATCGCGTAAGTTAAATCAGTTGTTTATTATACAATAGACAAAACAACGCGAACCTCTTTCCGATGTTCCTTCAACAACGGCTTTACGCATTTCAACAGTGCTCACAGAGACATCTTCAACTATAATAGTTGTTTCCCGCAGGAGAAATGAGGAATATCAATAACCATATATCTCTGATTTTGTTATTTAAGCAACTCGTTGCATGACTAGTTGTGATCACCTGTCGTTTAGTCACCTATCGTTTACTATTGCCGTCTTAAAAGTCAATACCTGTCTCTAGCTAGTAACAAATTTTTCCTCAGGTTTGCTTCAAAAGGCCGTGTAGTATGTGGGCCACTAAACTTGTTATCCTTAGACTATGTTTGTTAGATTTCATGATTAAAGGAAACGGCATAATGATAAGCATGTATAATGGCGCGAAAGTATGAAATGGTGGTGAAATTGGTTCACACACTGGTTAAGCAGTTTTTATACTATTAGGCATAACAATTGACGAGTTGATAGAACTACCATATTTAGTCTCCTAATGTACATTTGAATCTGCTATCGATACCCTGTTTCGGTCAGGCCCTTGACGATAAAAACCTATGCTGGAATTTCATGTAAAATATAAACGTTCACGTAAAATATATATATATATATATATGAGGTATCAAACAACTAAGAGTACGCGTTTATTTCACATGGCCATAGTAGACATTTTAACTAAGTATCTGAAGGCCAATACACTTAATTAACTTAAGTTTGCTCACTTGTTCCAAATGAAATATGTTGTATATGTATATATACAATGTATATATATTATACAACGGTGGTGGTTATACAAGTTAGATGTTAACATACCGAGCTTTTCCTCCTTACTTATAGAACGCTGTTGTTCTACAGTACATGAGGTATTTACTGCTGGCATCCTTCGCCGAGCGTAAGTACGGCAACGCTATACAGTATACGAATTCCAAAGCACGAAGGCTCCTCAGTTAAAATTGGTCAATATTTATTCAGCCGCGTGCGGCTGCGAGGTTATAGACGCTGTGTTGACTACGGGTACTAGGACCAGGTTAATCCACCACATCCACCCCTGGTACCCCAGCAGCGTTAACGATGTTACTATTAACGGGAAGGCGTCAACTGATCGGTAATATTTACCGGATGTCGTTTTGCGGTGCAACCGAACAGACCTTCTCTCGCGTGTCTGGAGTAGTAGATCGACCTTTGCATAGCAGCTCCTCTCGAATCAATATCACACGACCCTCCCAGTTTCCCCTGCAATTATTTAGGCGTCGAGCTAATTGACAAAATCAATAGTTCAAGCTGATTCTGCCCAAAGCAGCTCACAAACCAGTAAGAGTATACTGAACAAACTCAAAATTTGTTCTCTCCTGTTAGCCTTGTTGCCTGACAGGGAGGTAGCGACGATCGGAGGTCTCTCACTAGTAAATCTATTAAACCTTGAATTGGACTTGCTTTTCTTCGTTAATGTACTCTTAGCTTTGCGCGATGTCACTTTCCCAAGTTTAAGTTGTTTGCGGAATTTGGACCTTTGTTACTGGATGAATATCGAGAAATGACAAAGGAAAACTGGCGGATTAATACTGATAATAAAAGAGCACAAAGAGTTCACGCGGCCGCTTTACCTACTACAGACACAAATAGATAGTTTGTACATTAAGCAGAGCAGAAGTCGCTGGTCAACTGGAAAATTTTCATTCCATACTTATTCAATTAACGGACTTCACGAAATAAAAAGTGAAGATCTGATTACACAACACAACAACGTAAATTATCAGTTGGACACGTACGTTTAGTTACTGTTTACGCAATATATGAACTGTATAACATATATATAAACGTTCGAAGCGTGTCTCGTATTCTTGCTTTGGCGCATTACTAATGATGAACCTGCGCCGACCGTGGCCCTGGCTGATTGTTTCGCTCTTATTTTTTTCTCTGAAGGTGAATGAGCAATCAAGTAAGAGCTACTAAGCCTTTCATTTGTTGATTGTATAATACATCACTATTACTGTCCATTAATATCGTGTAGCAAAGAAAGAAGAGTCGTTGTTTTGATTGCCGAAAAGACGTATCGCAGCTTCCTGAGGTGCATGAAGAGAACCTAATACGCGTATGTATGGTTACGCATATACCATTTCGAACTGCTAACACAAAGTACAGAATAGATGATAACAGTACCCTTACACGCATAGCCTGAACATTTAAAAAATTAAACATATACAACTACATGGTATTTTGTAGAAGCTTGGTGAATATTTGTATTTTATAATAAACAGCTTTTATATCAGGCAGGTAGTTTTTATTCAGGGCGTACGCTATATGGTGCTCGCTGCGATGGTCCCACGTGGCAACGCGATTTCGGCGTTGGAGTGATAGTCTGACAAATGTATTATAGTTTGAGCTGCTTTGGAGCACCGGTAATAATCAGGTGTCTAGCTTCTAATTTTCGATTTTCACCTAGTGGAAGTTGGTTTTTACAACTTGTTGCAGTACGTCTGCCTCGATTCTGCGTTAGGCAATCAATGACCAACCAACATAGCATGATCGTTTCGCGTGTAAAATAATCTTCGAGTTTAGAGTGCGTCACCTCAACATCGGGATATCTATACGCTACTGATATAGATTAACTTGTGAACAATGTGATCAGCTTTACGAGGTCTAACATTGATATTTAAGGCCGATCCCAGCACTTCAACACGATATTTAGAAGACAACCAGAGCTTTCTCTGGTGCGAGCCTCTTTCAGGTCGGAGAAATTTCCAAGACGACAGTATATTTCCTGTCATCCGAACAAACGAGGCTATGGTTCGTTCTGTATTTTCTTGTAACCAATACATAACATGCATATGAAAAAATGAAGCAACAGTCAAATGTATTTTATTATAGAAGCTATCCTTGCCATTATTTAGGTACAAATGCGGCAATTTGATCTGTTTGCCGTGCCGACGTCATAGATTGGGCGTGCGTTGGAGCAACATTGAAATTTTACGACAGTGTTGACTTAAGACGAGTGACATTTTTTGACACTCAGCGGCCCCCGCATGCAACAGCCTAGAAACAGTCAACTATCTAATAGATATGTGAATTATCGTTGAAATGATACCAGGTGCCTCTCCAATGACCGTCATCGGATTGGTAGAACCGCATTGGTTGCATCCCGCCAAGTAATAGCAGTTCAGTGGACGGCCCAGTCTTTAGCTGTCACACGAAGAGCGGTTAGATTTATGGATGTATTTTGGAAAGTATCCAATTCACGGCGTCATATGGCACGGTATATATGTTATATGGCGCTGGATCGCATGATGGCAGGACGAGCTAAAGCTATGTTATCGTGCATGCACGTTTTATGCACCAACTGTACCTCGGCTACTGTTCAAATACGACGAGCGAGCGCGTAACGACAAGGAAATGTAGTAGAGTTAATTTATTGTTAGATCCGTCGAGTGCTTTAGCTATTGTATCTCGTATTAGACAGCATCTAGCATGCACCGATGATAACTATCGAGCAAGCGCATCCAGACTTGTGGGTGTATGTTGCAGTCTGCGCCTGCGTAGGTTTCCAAATTCGTTCTGATTTCCGAGCAAATTTCATATGATTTCCGCAAAAATCATATGAAATATCTGCACGAGAATGACTTGTTTTTTTTTCATTTTTTTCTAACGGTAATTTCCAAGGGAGGTGGAAAGAAAGTACGAAAAACGTTATTTTCATTACGTATTGAAACGTACAAGATGTCGCAGAGAAAAACTTCCTTAGATTAGAAATTCAAGTATCTTTCAAATGCCGACGCGCGTCTCCCGTTAACATCATAACGGGAAACGCTCGGTTTCATTACAATTAAGCTCTCATTAAGCGTCACATGCTTATTAAGAGTAAGCGCTCGAAAACTAATTGTCGCCCGCTAAACACTAATCAGGAGAGTGTTTTATAGTAAAATGTATATAGAGTAAATGTATGTAAAATGTATATAGCAAAACGAATAGAGGACGCATATCCTGCCAATTCGCGTCTCCTTTTTTTAGTGAGAACGATAAACGAGATCAAAAAAGATTATCATCGTAAGTATCTCATGTAATGATAAAACGAGATCTTTTCAGTAAAATTTACGTGAGATTTTCCACAATTTTATCGGCGAGTGACGAGCCAATACGCCCACGGCAACACTTCTACTGTGGAAATGCATATCGTGTAAATGTTTCATGATCAGATACAGCTGAATTACAGAGTAGATGTATAACACTGATGATTTATGCTGAGTTAGTGAAGTGTACGTGTTACAAATATAGGTCTTGTTAACGTGCTGGCAAGGCCAATCATATTCAAGCGCCTCTCCCTAAGCGCTAAAATAGCAGATTAACGCACAGACACGGAGATGCGACAGCAGCTTTACGCAGGAAATTTACACACACATGAAGCTGAAGCGATGAGGATTATTAGGTATTTATGAAGCTATCAAGTGTCGTGGGCCATAAAACATCTCGATAACTCTGAGGGTAATCATTTGTGCATTTAGGTTGCTTCTCACGTTTTTTCTACACGAATTTTCCGATAGCAAAGGCATAGGGACAAGAGAGCTGCAGCAGATTATCTCGAAAGACGGCTTAGGCGACGTTATCTAACATCTTTCCAAGCGACATACCCTCTTTAATAAAAATCAGAGCTTAAATCTACTCTGAAATCTTGAACCGCTGGCGGAATCTAACCAGAAGAACCCAGTTTTCCTGTAGATGTTGTGTCCATTTTTGTCCTTTAAAATACGTGCCTTTGTCAAATAAATATCTATTTATTTATTATTAATTAAAAGTAAAAGAACGCTATGAAACATCGTCAAGTTTCCACATAAGATGAGATTGAGCAACAATACAGGCGCGGTGCTAGTCGTACCCGGGAAGTTTTGAAAAGAGCGTGTCTTGCAGTTATACTAGAAGATCATTATTTGCAATCGTTTTTAGCTGAAAAGGTATTAGGAAATGTCGGGTCAGTTTGACGGTGCGAGAATGCTTTGTCTTCCTTTTACCCTATTAGAACGAGTTCTATCTACTGACTACTAAGACTCCAATTGACCTTTTAGCATGAACTAGTCCGGCTGATTGTTTGCCGGTCAGCATAGTTTCGGCCTGGAGAGAAAAATGGTAAAGATAAGGCCCGTTAGAAAAAGATGTTAGTTCCTCAAGGACAAGCGAAAAGAGTCTGTCAATCTAGATTGTGTTAATTCGGTTGGTCGTTAATCAAAATCAGCCTGTGTCTAGTTTTCCACGTTTGAAAATGACACTTCATTATCATTCACGAACACAAAGATGGCTGTCAGTATCTCTTACGCTGATCTACTATCGATGTGAACATTTATTCCGTGGACATCTGTGCTTAACGTATATTACATAACCAACCATGAATGAGACCATTCGAACTTACTTCAATAATAATAATACAATAGACGTTCTATGAAACTTCCGCAAAGTGAGTGTAGGTAACTAAATAGTAACTTTTTCTGAAATCGTAAATATCGGCAAAGGCCAGAAAGGTTGTGATCTGATTAAATCAATTTTTTTTTGTCTCCAGGTAAAACTATGAAGGACGTGAAGTGAATCCTACCGATATGGGACATCTTATTGGTTACCTTGAACAGGTAAAGGTATCATTGTACCTTATATTAACCTATAACATCATAATGGCTTTAGGCTTTGTTTTGCTCTTGGCAATTTGTTACATTATATTTATTACAGTAGGATCGAAAAATATTCAGGTTGCCTTCAACTAAGGTTTGGTATCTGCATGATGTAACCGTAGGTCTTTTTTTTACACATAGTTTTTCTTTAGCGTTTGAGCCGGTGCAGCAGTCGACGCACGACATGCATGTTTAGCCCGTTGCGCCGAACCTATCATTGTATAGATGCACGTACCTCAAACAATAGCTCTCATTGAAGTTCGACTTGTTACTGTACAAAATACAGAGAACATCTCTCTCGAAGTTCTATCAGCAGCATCTTGTGGAGCGATACTGATCATTTCTGTTTGTCAATAGATCTTTATCTTGATCACGCTATTTCCTAACGACGAATTTCTTGATTTAGACCAATTAGATCTTGATTAGATCCGATCTTTACCTTAGTATTATTTTTAATATATATATATATATATATATATTCTTAGCTAATAAATGAGAGCTTAATGGGCAGCAAATTATAACATGTAAAAGAGACCTAAATAGCGTCGGCATCGCTTTCATGTCCGCCGGATTACCCTTTAAGCTCTATTACTTTACAGCTTATTGTAAATAAAAATACAAACTTTATTGTAGAATAATAATGACATGTATCGTATTCTACTGATATTTAAACCGTTCCGATATCGGTCGAAGTCTCATACTTACGGATAACGAAACCGGCCGTTCCGTTTTCCCCTGCTCTGGCGGATACATGGTCCTTTCTGGCCACCACAGTTTCCTGATTACGTCAAAAAAACCAGTTATGTGTCACTATGGCATTACTGTTTTCATGATGAATGATCATGGTCGTTATCCGACGATGAAACTAAATAGTGCCGTAAAGTATAGATATACATATTACATACAAAAAAAAGCTCTTTTTTGGGAACTCTATTATATACAAGTATGTTGTAATACATGTTTGTAAAGTATATATGTATACCAGAATATTGACTATTGTCATCATTTAGACTGTTTTATTGACTAATAT